TTTTACTGGTGAGGGCTAGCGACCTTCACGAGACTTTCCGATCACCCTCCGCCCTCACCTAACGTATATCGGGACTGCGCAGTTCATCGATTAACTTTCAGATTATTCAAGTAATGCTTTAATTGCAATTTGTTTTGCCGGTTAATTGGAGTCTTGTGCTGTAGAAAGTCAACAAGGAGTAAAAAATGCCTGCTTTAATATTTTTGACGTCTTTATTTCTTTTGTGACACAGGCTCGCACAATAAACCACTTCAGCGTGCTTGTCATTTCACCGAGGGTGGTCATACTGTTTAAATAATAAAGTAAAAAATTCTTAATTGTAAAAGGCTTCCCGTGTGAACGTGAAGTTTAGAATGGGAATGCAATATGCCATTTATGACATAGTAAAACCAGTAAAAAAATGTATAGTTCTAACGCCTTTTATGCAATATGACTGGCGAAAAATTAACATACGGATTTATTGATTGATTAGACTATTAAAGGATAGCGATCAGTCGGGTTAATTTTCCAATCAAACCACAGACCAACTCAACATTCAATGCTTCATGAAAGTGACGGTTTGTGCGAGATAACAAAAATACGTGGGACCAGCGATTGTGTACGAACCAACACACTAAGATTATGGAAGCTTCCGACTTAATTAAATAATAAACGCTTTGCTGAATTTCTACGCATGGGAAACGATACAACACAACCTTTAGTAAGAATAAACGGCAACAAAAACACAAAGCACTTAATAAGGAATGTCAAGCTCAGCCGGAAACGGGCTTGCGTCGTCGAGATCCATGCTTCTGAGCGTGCGCCCGTAGCAGACGACGCACGGCGGTATCCCCGCTTTCGCGCGTTTCCAATTTCGGCCGCACGGTGGCGGCACGGTTCGATCTCGAGGCGAATATGCCCCGAACGCAGGTTAAGTAGCTTAGCAACGAATTGATGCCAGATTGTGAGCCAGGCACTCCTGCCTAACTCCCCAGTGTATGCAACACAAAGTGTTTGTGACATCCATTAGTGGAGTCTGTAGGGATGGCCGAAGGGGCTTAGCCGAAAGAGCTCGGGGAATTGGCGGCGCGGTCACCCGAAGCGTCCTTGGGAGGCGCCCGATGTCTTGTCTTTCCCTTTGGCGGCAAGCGGAGGCCAGCTCCCGAAAGTGGAAGCAGATTTCCCCGCGTGGGAAGTAAACAAACCTCTGTTCGCGGGTGGTCGCCCTTGCCGCCGAGGTAATTGGGGAGGCGACCTTGTCGGGGCCATGTCGGCGACTTCGGGGGAGAGAGGGAGGTCCGGCCTCCTTTCGGAATGTCGGTGCGCCTTTTTGGAGAAATTGAGTTTGAACAAGCCCGTGCGCGGAGCAAGTTATCTCCCGCGGTCCGCCGGTCCGCGTAGCTTTGTCACGAGCGACGAGCAGTTTCTTTGAGCCTCACCGTGCGCGGTGGGCACTTTGCGCCGAGGCGCGGTTTTTTTGGTATCTCTACTGTAACCAAGTTTGCTGTTGACGTTTTAATACATTTGTTTTTATCAACCGTTGCTCTCGACTTTGAGCGTCTTTCTTCGAGGCTCCGCCACCACCAACGAGCAAGAAGCGACCATCCAGCACGGCAGTCCACGATCGCCCGGCCCTGACCTACGACTTCTAGGAAGGACCGGGACAAAACAACCTGGTGACCCTCAGGGAGGGGCACAACCTTTACTGGCGCAGTCGACAGGATCGTGGACATTGTCAACCGCCTGGAAAAGTTCCAGACGCCTGGGTTGGTGCGGAAAGCGGTGGTGTCCATCGGAAGGAGCCCAGGACCAGCTGAGACAACGAGGAGCGGTCCACAAGCAGCCTGGTACGGCAAGGCACGGCTACGAGTACGCCGGTGGCCGGAAGCGGCGAAAGCCAAGAAGCCGACGTCGCGCGGGGCGATCGGCGCCGGTGACCTGCGGGTTTGACGGCATCGACGACTACCGGGGGCCTGGGGCCTTCAACGGCGACAAAAGATTCAAGCCGGCGGACGTCAGCGGCTGCGATCAACGCCAGTGGCCTGCGGGTTCGGCGACATCCGATGCGACTGCGCGGACTCTACAGTACCGCCAGGTAAGTGGTCGTTTTCCCTTCCGTCGCCGGCTGACACCCGCGCACTTAGTTGCATGGCGAGGTATAACTGGCCCATTGGGGAGAGCCTCAGTGACGGAGAGGACGAATGGTCGGATGGGGAAGCGATTCCGCTGAGCGTTCAGATAGCACTCGTGAGGAAAAGAACGAAGGAGCTAGAGCTGGAGATACGACTGGCGGAGCTCCGGGCGGAGGAGCGGAGAGCAAGAGCTCGGCTCCTGGAGGAGCGCCGAGAAGGGTCGCTGATTAATGCAGCGGCGGGCGCGGAGCCCGAGGCTCACCGCGTGAGCGAAACGGAACCGGACGCACTGGGCGACCCGGAGGCTGCCATGGGGTCCGAGGCCGATTGTGCCGCACAAAAGCCGGAGACTGCCATGGAGTCCGAGGGTGATCGCGCTGTCCAGGAGCCGGAGACTGCGGTAGGCTCCGAGGCCAATCGAACCGTACAGGGACCGGAGACTGCGGTGGGGTCTGAGGCCGACCGCGGTGTCGAGGAACAGGACACTGCCGGAGGGTCCGAGGCTGACCGCGCTGTCCAGGAACCGAACCCTGACGGGGGTTCCGAGGCTTATCGCGCTGTCCAGGAACCGGAGACTGCGGTGGGGTCCGGGGCCGATCGTGTCGTTCAGGAACCGGACACTGCGGTGGGGTTCAACGCCGATCGCGATCTCCAAGAAGTAGGGTTTGAGGCCGATCGAGCCGTACCGGGACCGCTGACTGCCGTGGGGTCCGAGGCCGACCGTCCCGTGCTAGGACTGGAGACTGCCGGGGGGCTCGACGCCGATCGCGCTCTCCAGGAACCAGACACGGTCATAGGGTTCGAGGCCGATCGTGCCGTACTGGGACCGCAGACTGCCGTGGGGTCCGACGCCGATCGCGCTCTCCAGGAACCGGACACTGTCGTAGGGTTCGAGGCCGATCGTGCCGTATTGGGACTGGAGACTGCCGGGGGGTCTGAGGGCCATCGGGCCACTTGCCAACCAGGGTCTTCCTGCGTCCGGGCAGCTGGAAGGGAGGAGCTCCCGGAGAGCCAGGGGTCGGTCCCGGCACTGGGGAGGCTGGTGGATGCCGATGTCGCGAGGGGGGCCACTGCCGCTGTTCAGATTGGACTTCGGGGTCACCACGACGGGCCTTGTGTTGAGGGTGTGACACAGCGGGTGCCACCAAGCGGGCGGCGCGAGGAGGTACAGGTGCAGGAGCACGAATCGCCGTGGGGCAACAATCTTGGAAGGGGGACGGCGATGGCGCGCCATGGGCGCAAAGTTGATCCTTTCTCTGATGTCTGCGAAGCGATTGCCGAAAGCGCTTCCGTGGAGAGGCCGAGCCGAGCACGCCTTCGTGGGCCTAATGAAGCTCTGGCGAGCTACACTGTTCTCGCGACACTCGACACGGGTGCCCGAGTAAGGGTTGATTGTAGGGTGGCAAGGGAGCGCTTTGTCGCACTCATGCACGTGGTGTCAGCGGGCGTGCATGTGGGGAAGCGATCACTGCCGCGGCCCTTGTGAGGTGCCATTGAACTCTAACTTGTTGAGTAGCGTTTGCCACACTTTTTGAGTTTTGTTGCGTTTTTGTTTACGGCAACTCTTGCGGCGCTTTTGATGTCGTTGGTGCGACCAAGACAGGTCCGCAGAGTCTATAGTTAAGTGGGTGATCAAGGTTTCTGTCTCCACGAGCAGAAAGAAGTGTTGTTCCTGTTTTTAATTTTCATTTAGCAGGTCGTAGTAGAGGAGCGTGGCTGTGTTTTATTTTGTGTAATCGAACGTTTCAGCGTTGTTCAGTGTTCACCAGGCGTTTTCAGTTTACCCTTGACTGTTGGTTCGCCGTGATTTATTGATGTTTTGGTCTTTTGTTTGCGGAAGCTCTTGCGGCACCAATGGTGTCATGGTTGCGATCGATCCAGGTCCTCGAGAGGCCTGCTGAGAACTTGAGTATAGTGAGAAGTGTTGTCATTTTGTTTTCCTCATTTTTTATGTAGCATTCGGTGCTAAGGGGGCCTGGCTTGGTAATTTCTAGCCATGCGTTTTGTAGTTTTATTTTTCGCTTCAGTTTAAGCGGGTTGTTTTTGTGTTCTTGTTGGGTTTTCGGCCATCCTGTTTTTGTAACTGCTGGCTAGTCCAGAAGTCCTAGCGCAGTTTTCGGGGGGACGTGTAGGGATGGCCGAAGGGGCTTAGCCGAAAGAGCTCGGGGAATTGGCGGCGCGGTCACCCGAAGCGTCCTTGGGAGGCGCCCGATGTCTTGTCTTTCCCTTTGGCGGCAAGCGGAGGCCAGCTCCCGAAAGTGGAAGCAGATTTCCCCGCGTGGGAAGTAAACAAACCTCTGTTCGCGGGTGGTCGCCCTTGCCGCCGAGGTAATTGGGGAGGCGACCTTGTCGGGGCCATGTCGGCGACTTCGGGGGAGGGAGGGAGGTCCGGCCTCCTTTCGGAATGTCGGTGCGCCTTTTTGGAGAAATTGAGTTTGAACAAGCCCGTGCGCGGAGCAAGTTATCTCCCGCGGTCCGCCGGTCCGCGTAGCTTTGTCACGAGCGACGAGCAGTTTCTTTGAGCCTCACCGTGCGCGGTGGGCACTTTGCGCCGAGGCGCGGTTTTTTTGGTATCTCTACTGTAACCAAGTTTGCTGTTGACGTTTTAATACATTTGTTTTTATCAACCGTTGCTCTCGACTTTGAGCGTCTTTCTTCGAGGCTCCGCCACCACCAACGAGCAAGAAGCGACCATCCAGCACGGCAGTCCACGATCGCCCGGCCCTGACCTACGACTTCTAGGAAGGACCGGGACAAAACAACCTGGTGACCCTCAGGGAGGGGCACAACCTTTACTGAGTCACTGTCAGACGCAAGACAGAGCATCAGTGCATGCAAAGAGAACTGAGTTCCCGAAAAGATTCAAGCAGAGGCCGAGGGCGCACTCACGTGATTGGCGATGGAGAGCTTGTAAAGGGCGTCGCACCACAGACTGTACATCTCTGCACGCTTTCGCTTCAGCACCATTCGTTCACGGGAAACCTTGGCCTTCTCCAGTTTGGTCATACCCCTGCAAGGTAGAAACCAAGCCCTCGTCACTAGCAGTCAAAAAGATTCTTCTTGCAACGAGAGCACAAACTGAATCGTACAAGTTTTACCGTCAAAGCTCTACATAAAGGAGTCAAAGAAAGGTTTCGGAGACTTCGTTATGTCAGAGAAACTGTTGCGTAGGAATTTAGATTACTTACGAGCACGATGCACTTCCACATCCCCAAAACTTTGTTGCAGCATCCAGTCTCATAAATGAATGCAAACTGAAGAGCATTATTTATTTATTTATTCAAGTTCCCTTAAAGGCCCTCGTTGAGGGCATTACATAAGGGGGGAGTACATAACACGAGAGCATAAAACAGTAACAACGACATATGCGAATACATGGGGTGCTGCAAAACAACGTGGCATAGCAACGGCAAGACGCAAATTAGTCTGGGTACATGGGGAGCGTAAGGGGATGAAAACATTGATACATGGCAACCAGTAAAGCACAAGACAAACAAATAGAATAGCACAGTGGGATTAACAGAAATAAGTGCAAAGAGCGTTGCGAAATGCGGTGGGATCCGTCTGGGTTACAATAAGTGAGGGGAGGTCGTTCCAGTCTACAATAGTACAAGGGAAGGAGGAGGAGTTAAAATAGGATGTGCTGCCTGAAATGCGGGAAACGTGACACGGGTGAAACGTGACACGGATGAAACGTGACACGGGTGATTACATGTCTGGCATCATGCAACAATCCTCCCTGAAAAAAGAAAAATTAACACACAGTCTTTGGCCTGTGACCAACTGCAGCTGAACTAAAAGTCAAAGGGTGCACTGCCTGGTTTCCGTACTTGCGCGACTCTTTTACCTTATTTTCTTAGACACTCTTAGTGGCTGGCTCTTGAAGCTTAAAATGGCCCCTGGAAGTTTTTTGCGTGTAGATTCCGTGGCAGATTCTAAAATGAATGAAAAAGCCTTCAAGGTTGGAGCTAAGCAAATGCATGGTGCCATCATTCTTGAAGCAAGAAATATTTTGAGACATCAAACTCCAGGTAAGCTCAGAAGCTGGTTTCGGCAGTATTTTCTAATTCCCTGTTACCCCACTAACCTAAACTGCCAGAGGCGGACTTAGCATTTTGCCTCCCTAGGCAGCCTTGAACAGTGCCGGCTCCCAGAGAGGAAAGGGGGAAGGGGAAGGGGGGGGGGAATAGTTAAGTTTGGAGGTAAAATTTTCGAAAGTAGCTATAGATTTCATGCTAGAATCTCCGAAGTAACTATATATTCAGAGCAAGATTAAAGAAAGAAAAAAGCCAATTCATTTGGAAGCAGTTAGAAATTGGCCACCCCAAAAATTCTGCCGCCTTGGGCAGGATTTTTGCCTCTTGGTAAGTTTGCCTCTGTAAACTGCAAAAAAAAAACGTTCAGCCTTTCCACTTTTGTGAAGAAGGAAGATCAGTGGAGCTGTACTCGATACACTGTGTGCTTCTTCTTCGTCGTCGTCTGTTTTTCGCACTGTTTCCCATGATGAATTCCCACCAACGCGCCCAACTATCCATTCCTCTATTATAGCTGGAAAGGTTGCCCCCGTCTACGAGCGACGGCGGAAACCATACTGGTTGTGTGCTTGCTGCCGTTGCTTATAAATGGCGGTAGCTCTCCAGATAGGTTTGTGTCGACATACACGGACACGATCCTGGGGAACCTAGCCCTTAACAGCTCCGCTGTAAAAAGCATGTAGTCTACAGTCAGAGTTGTCAAAAATCATAAAAGCATCACACATTTTTCAAAGTTGTTAGCTGCAACTGTTACTTTACAAATACTAGCAGACAAAAGCTTTCAAGCTCAAACAAAGAACAGAGAGAAAGAGAGAAGAGGGGCCCCTCACGTCTGAAACTTGGGCGCAGCGGGACACTCGGAAGGTGGCATGGGAATGTCGAGCTCCTGGCTGCCCTTGTTGAGGAACACTTCGACCACCAGGTCCAACACCTGCCGACAGTCCCACGACCGTGCCAGAGCACAAGCTTAAAACGCTGCCGGTTGTCTGTCAATCCTAAAGAGCAACCCTTGTGAACAGCGTTCGCCGTCGGCTTTCGACGGATCCCGTTTCATAAGGACTGCCGCATGAGGGCAAGAAACCTACCCCAAAATCTAGGCAGAACGGTTTTCACTAATAGTACTCTCAGTACGTATTTACGGAATATTCGAGCCCATAGAACGGATCGAGACCTCTTTAGCCGTTTCGCTACTTTCCTTTTGCCGTACATACTATGTGGATTTGGAAAGCATTTTTTTTTCTAACTGTTTTAGTTTTTCTCTGGATACAAACTCTGCTGCCTGAAATGCATCTCAGGCTGGCATGCTTATGGCATCCCCATTTAGTTCCCTCAATTTCTACCTGGTGACGTCGAGACTCCAGCAACACCGATTCGGAATGCAGCGACGGCGGTGGTGCTGACGAAAGTTTGTCCAGTGTGCTGTTACTTATACAAGGAATCGCGAGAAACATGAGGATCCGTAGCATTTTTCGGAGGCTCGTGTAACAGATTTTGTTACAGGAGTTGATTGTGCGCCCATCCCGCCTCCACATGTGTGCCCACTTTCTCTAGATTAACACATCGCACTCTGTGTTGCCAGTGCCTTTGCCCCGCTAGTATGGCATGGGTGCAATCTCTTTTTTTCCTGGCCCGAGGTTCAATTGCGCGAGGGTCTTCCGTTACGCTAAATTCACTATGGGAAAACTGCTAGGAGCCAGCCATATAATATGTCCCAAGTTCAAAAGGATGCAAAGACTTTGGAGCCACCAAACAAGATTTCGACTTTTCTTTGCTGACGCCCCCCGCCTTTTCCAAAGGCTCCAAAATTCAAAGAGATGATGCGCTAACACCAGAATCTGGTTGAACGAAAGGGCGAAATGCGAGCACAGCATACCTATGCTCGAGACCCTACGGTCCTGTTCCTTCCCCTTGTCCTCTCGGGGCCGGGCGCAAGCGAAGAGGTGCCTCTCCCCACTCACCGGCTTGTTGATCCTCCAGGGGCACAGTGCCAGGATGTTGAGGGCGTCGAAGGATGGGTACAGCTGCTCCACAGGGGTCGACTCTAGCACCAGCTTCTGCTGCTGGGCTGCCTCAGGGAGCCGCACAAAGGGCGCTGGGAGTCACCGAAAGACGTGGATCAACGTCCGCTGCGCAGCACTAAGAGGCGACGGCGCTACAGCTTGGACCGGATACCGAGACCCCAAATCTCGAGCGGAAGCGAGCCATGGAATGATCTCAAGAGGTGCTTAGAGGAACCGCGATGCAATCTCAAGAAAGAGCTTACCTTAATTAATTAAGTGCCAGGACTGACCGAGGAAACATTCCAAAGATTGTTGCGGTGTGGTAAGTTAACCGCGCGTCAAAGCATTTTTAGTAGTCTCATGCAAATAGAGGATTTTTAGTTCGAAGCGAATTCAAAGCGAATAGTGGTTTTGGCCGAATATTTTCGATTCGAATATCTAATATTTTTTCCATGCCTTTCACTACCACTAAGGTAGCAATTTGGGCCAGTTGTTCCATGATAACCTAAAAAAGCGGCAAAAAAACACAAGGACGAGGAAGTAGACAGAGCGCTCTTATCTGTCTACTTCCTTGTCCTTGTGTTTTTTTCGGTGCCTTTTTAGGTGCTTTCACTACCATCGCATAATGCTTAGATGAAAACCTAACTAAATTTGTGAAGGTTGTTCCACTTGTTCATTTATAAGCTAGGTTTAATCTATCTATATTTATGAACCGTTACCTCAGAAGGTTTGGTGTCTTGGGATGGCAAGTAAACAACGAATTTGACATAAAATTAATCCTATAAAGATGGCTATTATTATTATTATTTATTTTCAAATACAGCCGGCACGGGTGCACCATCCCGCTTTGAATGTATGCTTTTCTTCCAAGCACGCAATTATGATATTTCTATTTTTCCAAGTGTTGCATGCAATTATGATATTTCTACTTTTCCAAGTGTTTATTGCGGTGGGTTACCCCGCTGAGTGCACTTCTTAAACGGCACCGATGTAATGCAGAGAAGCAACACCCGCGGAGCTTGCTTCTGCAGGTATTGCTTCTCCACAGCGCACCGGTACTTGGTAAGAAGCGCACTCAACAAGGCTAACCTGACGCAACCAACGCTTCAAAAAAAACGTTCAGCCTTTCCACTTTCATGAAGAAGGAAGACCAGCGGAGCTGTACTCGATACACTGCCGCAACGCGCATGCGCCCGATTCCCGCTTCTTCTCGTCCGACACGCCGCCGATCGTGGATACGTCTCCGGCGAACCAGAGCCGGGTGCACACGGCGCATGTGACGCTAAGCAGGTTCTCCACAAACTCCCTCCGGAACCTCGCCGTCACACCCGGGAACTGCTCAGCCGGCGTGGACTGCAGTCGTCGCCGTGCCTTGCGCTTGCGCTTCCCCTCCGTGGCACGATCGTCGTCCGTGGCGTTGGCCCGCCGGCGCCTTTTACATCGCTGGTTCTGTTCTCGGCGGCGGCTCTCCAGGCGAGCGATGTGCTCTTTGGCAAGAGAATCTGAAGCGCTGGACGCAGTGGAAGTCGAGGCGACAGCGGCTTTGCGGAGGTTGCGAACCCACTCGCGCTGCTGCGTACATCGCCGCTCCTCCCGCAGCCTGTCTCCTTTCCCCGACAGGACGCGCCGCCGACCCATCGTGAGTCCAAACCATAGCTGATAGGAGCGTAGGAGCAAAGGAAACAGCACGCAAAACAGACGAGGACGAAAAAACAAACGTGACGAGCGCTGCGCTCGTTACGTGTGCTTCTTCTTCGTCGTCATCTGTTTTTTGCGCTGTTTCCTACAATGAATTCCCACCAATGCGCCCAGCTATCAATTCTTCTTTGATAGCTGGAAAGGTTGCCGCCATTTGCGAGCGACGGCAGAAACCAGACTGGTTGTGTGCTTGCCGCCGTCGCTTATAGACCTTTTTCGGAAGGGCGCCGCCACCTTGAATGGTCGTCACTTCCAGTATGGGCGAAAACATTGTTTTGCCGTCGCCACGCCAATAGAAGGCAATTAGGACAAAAACGTAACCGTCACACATTCTTGTTTGCCCCCCCCCCTTATTTTTTTACTATTTTCAGGTTAAAACGTTGTGATATTTTTTTGTCGCCCATACCGGGTATGCCTACCTGGCAGTCGGGGGCGAGAGTAAGCGGAAAAGGTCTATAGATTGCGTTAGCTGCCCAGGTAGGTTTGTGTCGACACAGCGGACACGATCCTGGGGAACCTAGCCCTTAACAGCTCCGCTGTAAAACAAGAATAGTGCAGTTCTTCTTGAAGCGAATATCGAATAGTGTATCATTCGGAACTACTATTCGAAATTTCGAATATTCGCACAACCCTAATTTTTAGTTTTTGCTGCAAGGTACACACAAGCGGTGAAGGTAGAATGTAGGTATGTGCGAATAGTAGATTTTGACTTTGAAGCAGATTCAAAGCGAATAGTGGTTTTGGCCAAATACTTTCGAATCGAATAGTTTCTCAAAGTCTTTCACTACCGTGCATCATGCTTAAAGGAGCAATGGAGCCCAGAGAAGATCATCGCTTTGGGAGCCCCCGACGTGCGCACCTGCGTGGGCGCATCTGCGGCATACTTTACGCATACGTGCGCCATGAGAGATTGGGAGTGTTTACCGAAAGTCGCTTAGATCTGCGCGGTTAAGAAAAGAGACCGGCCCAAGTTTGAAATCGCCAAGGAATTCCACATTCCGGCATCGGCTGTTCGACACCGTCTACCATTTTGCAGAACAAGCAAGGCATATTGGACGGGTTTGAGATGTTTCTCATGCAGGAGAAAGCACGCCCGTGACCCAAGATGAATAATCGCCAATTGCTTCGCATACGTCGGATTTTCTCTAGCGAGCATGCTTGCCGAGGATCTCTACACTTGAACACAATCTCTACAGGAGTGTGTGAAAACATGTAGGTAAAACCACCGAGGATAACTTTGTTTCGTTCGTGCTTGTCGATGCAGACGTTCCCATAGTTGCTCCTGCCACAGATGCTGCGATCGTAGACCTTGCGTGCGGCCAGGGTAATCATGAAACAAAGTCGGAGAGGCACCTCCGAAAACGCCGATGACCGAGGAGACGTCGACGACTGCGGAGACGCAAGACATCCTACGGCTGCTTCGAAACAAAGTGGAGTGCAGTGACAGGGACAGTGTTCTTATGATGCTTGGAGCAGTTCAAGGAGAACTGATGCTCGGATGAAATTATCGGCAAACTCCACTTAATTATTTTTTTACTGGGTAAAGCTGGCACGAGGAGTTCATAACCAAAGTTCATATACGGTCAGTGTTCCCACCCACCTTAAAAGCTGCTGGCACTGTTTTTTTGGCTCTATCGCTTTTATCGAATTACCGCTTACTGTATTTACTCGTATAATTTGCACACTTTTTTTTTTAAAATATCTGTTATCAGAAAGGGGGCTCGCAAATTACGGAGATATTTCGCGAGCACATCGCAAATAACACATCTGCAAAGGCCCTGTAATGTATACAAAAATACAAATACCTATTCAAACGGCAAGTTGTTTTACTTTTTTTTTTTTTACAATACGTACCCATTTTGTTTACTCCGAGTCGCTGATGGAGCTCTCGCACTCAGTACCATGTCTGCAATTGTCGTGGTTGTCGTCGTCACTCGTGTTCCAAATAACATTGTCTTCAGTTCCATCGAGCGCGTTTGATAGTCCCGTCTTCTTGAAGCTCGACTCGACAATGCTGGGAGAGACCATGTCCCACGCTGTTAGAACCCACTCGCAGACCGGGTAGTCTTCGGACAAATACTGGCAGAGAGTCGTCTGTCGTCTCGGAGACAAGTGGTGGCGTCTCATGAAGCGTGTCACCCATCCTCTGCTAGCCTTGAACGTTGCAGCCATGAACGTTGCAGGCAATTTCTTGTGGTATCTTTCTTGCCTGAAACTCGCAAACATCTCGCATGACACGGCGTGACCAGCCGACCTGTGATCACAAAAATAGTGTAGCAGTTCATCTTCAACAGCAGGAAAATTCCCTCGTTTGGGCCCCTGAATTGCTTTTCTTCCCGGTCTTGCACTTACCAGTTGCGACTTCTGTCTTCGCCAATAATGTAAAGGGCTCTCGCTCACCCTTAACTGCCTGGCAGCTGCGCAGTTTCCATTTTCCTCAGAAAACTTGATCCCGCAGAGCTTCAACTTCGCTGTATAGTTATTGTAACCCATCGCAAGAGCAATCGTCGAGAAAACCGTTGACGGCGTCAAACTTGAACCACACAATCCGAACAATGAAAAGCATGCACTTTCGCGTTGCAGACTTCGCGCCACTCCACACGACCGCAACCGCTGCAACCACACACCACACGACACATCCAGAAATCCCAGCGTGACGTCATGCCTCCTTGCTTGCAGGCCAACCACCTCGCAACATTAAGCCAGCAGCACGCGCGCGCGCGCGTCTCGTAGTTCTTGCAGAGAAGCGCAGAGTCGCATCTTTCTCCCACTCTCGCCTCTCTCACTCCTCTCACAGCCGCGCGGAATTTCCGCAGCTTAGCTCACGTGCCCGTGGGGAGTCTGGAAACGGTTGGCAAGCTGGCACAAAACGGCGCAGGGCGCGCAAAATATGCGAGCAAGTTTTTTGTTTTCTGGAAATCTGGGCCTTAAGTTAGGGGTGCGCAAATTACGCGTGGGCACAAATTATGCGAGTAAATACAGTATATCAAAGTTTTTTGCCGTTCCGTTGACTTCACTATAACGAGGGGTTACTGTATATAGAGGTAGCACACATATGCGCACAATTAGTGCCATCTCAAAGTTTTTGATTCCGGAGCTTGTATCAATACCCTATAAGTGCCAAGACCAGCAACGGAGAAAGAGGACTTGCTCACTCTGCGTTAGGAGGAAGACCCCACTGTTGACGCAGGACCAGGGCAGGGGAGGGCACACCATGGGCACCAGCCCCACGTCGAAGGACAGCTGCTCCTGGGACCCGCCACGGTACAGCTTGGACAGCAGCGGGTGCGGCTAGGACAGGCACAGGCACCCCACACTCAGGACCCGTCCCCCAACAAGCGTTCCACTTTGCAAGGCAGGAGTGCTCCCGGAGGGGAGCAACCCTGCGATGCAGGTCGGCAATGCCGCGCCTCCTCACACACTCTTCCCAGCTTCACTAGTTTACTCCTCCCATTCCTTTTCCCCAAAATTTCTTCCGCTTTACTTACTTACTTTGTTTGTTCCAGTTTATTTTACGGAACATTGCATTCATGTTATAAACTTATGATAGTAATAAATAATCTTTCTCTTTAGGGGCTTGAAAACCAGCCCTTGCGTTATATTCGTGCAAATACGGTAACTTGCTCAAAAGACTGACATATTTCTTTTTTTTTTTTTTTTTGCTGAAAAAGGGATTTTGTCGTGAATAGCGAAGGCCAACTGGACAAAAAGGCAGCACCCCAGTGACCACCTGGAGTCTTAGAAAATCCCTACTTCAGTTCAAATTCAACGGATATTAACCCGAGTAGGTGAGATTCTAATCCCCCCATGAGCACCCATTGGGGCTCCTCCACCAGGTGCCACTCACAACACAGTGAGTGCATTGCAGTATTTCAGATTGGCCTTTGTTCCTCCCCTCACAAGCACGCACCTTTATCTCCTCCTTCGTCCGGGCACCAACGGTTCGGTAAATGTTGTAGAACGCTGGAATCATCCTCCTGCAAGAACGTGCGTGGAAGAAAAGCCGCAGCTGGGGAAATAGTTTTGGTGCACTTACTTGGTGGAGGAAGAGTGGCGGAGCACGTTGATGTCGATCTTGGCTTCGTGAATCATGATGTCGTAAAGGAAGCGTCCAACCTGCAGTCACAAAATGAAACCAATGTGCAAGCGACTCGAACCAATTCCGGCTGCGGAGCACCTCCAGGGTCAATCGCCACTCACCCCAAGCAGAGTGTGGTAAGGCCACAGGGCAATGTCGCTGTCCTGAAAGGAAGCAAACCAGAACGTCCGAAATGAAGCTTGGGCGTGAGCGCCGCTTCAATTACGTGTCGGCCGCACAGACAGCTTCGACGAGAGAGACAACTCCAGAGAGCGATCGTAGCGAGGCCAAATTGCACCGTACCCGACGCATGGCCGAACAATACGCTGTAGTGCTCCGTGCTACCCAGGCTACGACGGTTATGTGGAGCTGACCTAAGGGAAGCAACACTTCTTAATGAAAACAACCTTACGAATTAGGAAGCTAAATTCTGATGGCCGCCTATTTCTAGGCCTCATAAGCAAACCGCAAGATCAAGATCAGAACCTCTGATAAACATAACGTAAAATCTCAATTGAGAGATAAATGGTAAAAATACGGGAAAAGCGATATTTGGGGATGCGACAGAACATTTCATTAAAAATAAGTAATAAGCACAAAGGAGCACGCTTAACCTGCACGAAATTGGGAACTGATACCTCGAGTCGCAGACACGACAAATTCGCCACAAACTCCCTTGTCATGGGAACAGATACCGCAGAAATGTAGACACAACAGATTAGCGCTTCATGACGTGATAAGCCCGCGAGAACCCGCCACGAACTCTAGCGTCACGGGAACCGATATCGCGCGTGCAGATCGCGGGCAAAAGTGCAGGAACCAGCAACGAAATCGCATGTCATGAAAGTAGATCCCGCGGATCGCGGACGCAAGATTTGCACGCCACGGTGCGATGAACTCAAGAGAACCTGCAGCAAACGCAACAACCGTCACATGTACAAGTACTGCCGATCCAACAGATTGTGCGATTCCCGTAGAACATTGCATGATCGACATCTGGGGGGAATCGGGTGGGCGACGTTTTGGAATTTTAATGTTACGGATCTTCGGCCCAAAAACGACGAGACAAGTGATTTCTTGAGGGTGGGCGCTTGTACGGGATTTTGCAGAACTACATTTTCCGTTTCATGCCGAGTTTCGTCCGAACATAACCTACCGCAGCAAAGAGAAAACATGCAGGCGACAGAGTTCGATATAATAATGAGGCGCGAAACAAAAGAGAATCCAAGCAAGATCCTCTTTCTATTCAGTAGAGAATCTGAGAGGAAGAGGGATGAAATGCGACCTTCCGGTAGGATTCTGGGTGGTGACAACTGTGGAAGTTTTCAAACTCGCGAGCATGTTCCTGGTACCCCCCTCCGTTTCTTTTAATGCGTGAGCATTAAAATGCTCGTTCTGATGAAAACCCGCCGGTGTCAGTCAGTGAGTTTGTCTGTCGGCGCTATGCATGACGTCGCGAGGAGAGTGGGGTGGTGAGGACTTATCGTGTCGGCGGTGGGGAGAGCGGGAGAGGGACGGCGCTTCAGACCAATCCATGCGTTACACAGCTGGTGCGGAGCCAGAGACGAGCAGGAGCCACGCCACTTTGGAATGCGGCCCAGCTCAGTTGCCGCTCTGGCGATTGATGCGGTTCTTTCCACAAGTGATATGGCTGACCGTATCAAAGAGCAACAACGGAAGGAAACCGAGGCCACGCGATGGTTTTCTTCTGATGGAAATGCTGATGCATTTCCATTGGATGAACTTCATTTTATTTAATTGATCAGTGCAGCCATGAACCCTCAATTCGAGTCAAAACCAGGTTAGTCGTCTGCTCGAAATACCCCGGTTATGCGTGGCAGCCTCAAAACGGAACTACGAACATCGTTGGAGCGTCAGTCGACTTTTCCGAGCTTCGGCCAGAGCGGGCCGAGAAAGCAGCAGGGGTGGCACGCACCAGGGAGGGTCCAGCGGAGTGCTCTGCCTTCAACTTCTGCCAGTACTCTCGGGCGGAATGGCGCTCCCTGAGCTCCGGCGACAGGTAGTACTCCAGGTACTTCTCGTACAGCAGCGTCACCTGCGGGCAGTGGATCGCGTCAATGTCACCTCCGCTTCTGGTCGTCCTCCCCTCCCATTCACGAGATGTGAGCTTTGGTAGCCCGTAAGTCGAGCGGAGCTCCGTGTAAAACCGGATGTCAAATCGAGTCAAATCTGGAAGTTTCGTGTGCCAAACAAACAAAAGGCGTCCAGCACACCCGTGCGGAGGACCAAGGAGTAATTTTGACCACTCGGGAATGTCTGCTGCGCGACTGAAATTCTTGCCCTTCTTCGGGATTCAAACTTGCCACCCTCGGATTTGTGGGTTGGCACTCCGAGGCGAAGCGCTGGCTCACAGATCCAAGGGTGGCAAGTTTGGATCCCGGAGAAGTCGCTGCACTCGAGACTGCAATCCGATTTCTGGATATGCGTGTGACAATCGCTCAAGACCGCCCGGATAAACTCGAACTATAGCGCGGAAATGCCACGTGTGTGGCTGTAAGAATGGCCGAACAGCCATGAAAAGAAAACAACACCGAGACTTGCAACCATTGCAGAGTAACGGTGCGCGCTGCTCAGTGGATGCCACACAGAACGGGAAAGAAGGCGACTGACGTACACGCGTGATAGTAATGAACTTTGGCTATTATAACAAACGAAATTGATGTCTTTAAAAAGTGAGACGAGCTGAGAGAGAAATTCTGTAAACAAGTGTTCCCAAGCTGTGTTCCCCAGAGTACCCTCGGGGGCTTCCTGGACCTACGTAAAATGTTCCTCCAATTTAACCATTATTTTAGAGCATCTGAGTCACTCATTGATACACGTCTACGAGCCAAACGCTCCCTCGCATGCACATTATTGTTTACACGGTCCGTAAGCTTCCGCGCTGCTTTACGGCATAGACGCCGAGACCGAGAGGTCCCTCGGCCATCAGAGAAAAGAGATCAACGAGTTCGACGCGTTATGAAGGCCAAACAGGGAGACGTCCGAAAGACAGATTAAGGGGGAGCTCCAACAAAAAATTGATGGCCGTCGATTTTTATAAAATTTTCACTGGGGACTAAATATCCACCCCCGAGTATGTCTACAAAATATCTCAGCAAAATATTAATTCTCTTTCGAGAAAACGAATTTTGAATTTTACGCATACACCTCCGAATGACTGGCTGCACCTCTACCAGCAACAACGAGCAGGGGCGCTCATGACACCAAATGTTGTATCTGAGAGCAGAAGACGCTCCTTATACTACATGGCATTGTGATTGTAGTGATAGTGAGTGTCTGTAACTTAGCAGATTGTGTCTGGTTTAGGCTATTTGCTGCGTGCGATAGGGTGTGGGGCAATTGGTGATGTTCCATGGGGTGCAATAACACCACAAAGAAATGCAGCAGTGACATCGGTTTCCAACCGAGAAGCCTCTGTGATGCAATTGGGTCCCAGCTGTCCGACGCAAACGCCGGCTCTTTGCGTGGTCGTCGTGCTAGAAAACAGTTTGCACTTTCCTAGCAAACAAAGCCTTCCAAACCGTTTTGCTTCTGAAGCGGCATTTGGGTCCACATGTCGGCGGAACGCGAATGCAGCCACCACGGGTGTTCCCCTCGGGAGGCGATGCCGGCAGATCAAACGTTAACGGCGAATTGTCCAAAAGTTGCCGCTGAAAATCTTAAGACATATTTGCTGGCCACTGCTTGACTCGGACAACCTCGGTGAATCGCAGTCTAATATTTCTTACGGACGATCATGACGGCCTTCCGGCTGCTCTGATGCTGGGCGAAACAGGCTCAAGCTGCCCATACGCTGATGTTTATACAACATCTGACGTCACAAAAAGATAGCGGACCAGTAAAGTTGCACTATAGTTTAAGTTTCGGTTCTATCGTATTTGTACAAATAAAAATTATTTAAAAAGCTTTGAGGAAAGTCTTTGCTGCTCTGGGCTGGAACACGCCTTTCTTGTACTCTTTCAGAAAATAAGCTTAGCTCAAAAATGTACAAACTGATGATGGAGCTCCCATTTAAAGGCACGTTCGCACTTGCAAGGGGCAGCTGTCGCGTGACAACTTTTGTCGCAAAGGTGACAGTCACAAGTTGCAAAAGCGGCCAGTTTGGAGCAGTCACCTCCAGACCAAATCTAGCAACCGGTCGTCGAGTGGCCCAACGGTTGAACCAATCAGCAGCGCCTCAGAAGTGACGTTGTTATGCGCCTCGCGTTTGCTTACATCCGGCACGCCCAGCTTCTGTGGGAGAAGCAACCAACATGTCCGTCCAACGCCTCGGTTCATGCATTCTCCTTCGCTCATCTGCGTGTTTTGTTGGGCACTGTTTCGTTGCCTTTTTTTCCTTCCCGTAATCCTTCTGGAAACTCGACAGTTTTTACACCGTGGTTCTCAAACGGTATATTTTTCACTAGTGGGTAACATCGTACTCGTATTTATCGCGGTTTGGTATCTGCACGGCCAAACAAGAATGCTTCTGCCAGAACGATGGTCGCAGAAGAAACGAGAAACCTTTGGGTGAAGAGGAACGCAGAAGGAACGCTCACCTTGGCAGCGATGCCCGTGTGCTCCTTGACGGCAGTGACGTAGCGTGTCATGACCTTGGCTCCCAGCCCCTGGTGCAGAATGCTCAGAGCCGGGCTGAACGTCTCTGACGACATGGCCAAGCCACGCATCTCCTGCAATGTCGGCGCAATCTGCGACGTCAGTTGAGCGGCACTCCTGGTTGCAAATCTGCAAGAGTTACCCTCGAAGAATATACTGGTTATGGTTACTTATGCTGGAATGTAATTAAGCTGTAAATAAATAGTTTGATTAGAAGGGTCCAATGTAAAAAAAAAATACCGGAGGAAAGACAGGTGTACACGAGGCATTGCATTGTCCCATATATCATTTATATTTTATGCCTGCTTTTTGACTTTTACACCATCTGATCAGTGTGAAACGATCAGTCTAGCTTGCCATCGTTCTACAGCCACGTGTTTACACATGTGTGTAGTTCCACAGGTTTCCCCACTAATTTTAATCCAAACAAAGGTCAATTTAATCCAAGTGCCATCCAATTTAAATTGAATGTCATCCAATTTAACCCTAGCGCTTTGCGAATCAAGAAGAAAGCTACCATTCATGGCACTTCCCAAATGTGCGAAGTATAAACCAGCACCATTGTGAGAACATGTGGAGGACCCCACACACCCTACACTATGAGCCACTCCCTTTTCACAGTTGGGCTCCATCAAAGTATGTGGCACAATCGACTGATTCATTGAAGGGGCACTGAAGTGAATTGTGAATTTGTCTTTTTATGGCAATCACTCAATTCATGTACCCTAATCGTCTTAAAAACTCTAAATTATGATATGACATTTTTCCCTCTTATAACACAATGCACCACACTCCTTTTTTCAGTCTAAGACAGGAGCATGTTGTGATGGTATGTTTTTAATAGAAAAAAAGCCAAGCATGCTCATAATTTTGTGTTTATTAGAATGCTTAGGGCACGTCAACCGAGTTATTGCCATTAAAAGATGACCTCAAAATTTAACTCTGGAGACCCACAAAATTGACAAATCTTTTAATACCTCTTCTCACATATTAGCCACAGCTGCAAATTGCACATGCCCCCGATCTAAAGTTGATAAAAAAAAACTTGCGCACCACTTGCATAACTTGCACTCCTGTCCCGGCTATTCATTATGTCAGACACCGCATCCCGAGTATATATTTAATGCTGGAAAACTGAGCTGACTGTCAACTCAGTGCGGACAGCCAAGCAACACTAGTGATGCTTCACCCCCCACGAGAGTTCATGGCATAGATTTTAGAGCAACCGTGAGCTAAAGTAGACCAGCAGTAGATGCTTTACATCTATTGCAGCAGTAGATGCTTTCAGACAAAACTGCTGTCTTGGAAGCGCACGCTTTTGCCTACACGGAAGGTCTCATGAGCCATTTTGAGGAAAGTGCAATGAAGTCAGCTGCAATTCTGTATGAAAACAAGAATCTGATAAGGTGCTCTAGACGAGACATGGTTACTGTAGGTTAAAAATTGCAGCCTCAATACCCATTTGCATCCAACAATAAAGCCCTATGACTGTTTGAGCGACAGTGTCAGTGCAAAAAGAAGCTCAAGTTCACCTGTATGATGATGTTAACGTACACCTCTGGGGCCAGCACAGACAGGTATGGGTACAAGGACATCCCCCGGTTCACTGCAAACGGGCAGAATTCAAAGCAAGTCAACAGGTGACATGAGACGTCCAATATTTTGCTCAGATAATTGCAAGATGGCCGACCTCTTTGAGCTCCAGCGTCACCTATTGCGCCGAGGTCAGTTTTATGCTTCAAGTCGTACGCCGACACCGAATGTTGCTTACACTACTCTTTGTTGAGCTACAGAGGAGAGTTTAAAGAAATTGTTTGCAACCTCGATAGGTTGAGCCGCATCCCAATATGATCATCAAACGAAGGGTCGCAAACACGGGGAATGCGTTTTCGCTTAGACCGAAAAAATGTTGTTCCGCTTGCAGAAAAAGGATGAGAAGACTGGAAATATACGCGAAGGATACGTACGTAGGATTTCTTTTATCAGTAACAGTAATTATTGCATTTTTGCCATTGTATTTATGTTCGTGAGTATATGTTTTATTTTGTGTTTCCCTGCTATAATGCTTCGGCGCTGCAGGTTGTTTCTGTAAATAAATAAATAAAAATTAAAACGGATCGCCTTTGTATACTTGAGGAGCGGCATGTCGAGTTATTGCTGAAGAAGGTCGACCACATCTGCGAAAATGTGCATGCCCGTAAACCTCTCACACCGGACATGCTGGTGACCAAGGGGTCTGTCGCGTCCCTTCTCGCTGTGTTGACCTCGTGAAGTTCTGGGTCTGAATCCGCTCGAGATGCTTTTTATTGCTACACTTTGTTTAATTGTAATTCTGACACACAATCACGTTCTGCAACCCCTTTTCACGAGGAATGCAAGCCGCAGAACAAAGAGCATTGTGGCTAGCATGATTACCAAACGACAGACGACCCAGAAGTTGATATTTGAATGTGCTCATGGAAGGAGAACAAAAACGACCACTAACTTCGGATGAATACTTTAAGTGGACCAACTCTCAAATTTTAACAGTACTGTACCTTGGCAGAATCCTTTCTATATAGTGTTCCTTAGCAGAATCATTCGGTGATAGCTCGAGACTTTTTCGACGGATGTGTTTGAAACCGAAACTGTAGTGCAATCACGTGACATAGTATCGTACAACTAATAAAAGAACACCAATAAATAACAAATTATTTTTATCGCCGTCAAATTATTGTGTGAAGATTAAATAAATTTGAATATTTATTCAACTTTTTTACATAGCTACTGTAACATTTCATTGCTCATGCTGCCAAGGGGTGTTGCACGGTCATCTCAGAGGGGCCAAAAAACACAAATTTCACATGCGGTTTTTAAAACGCAGACACAATATTTTGCTGCAATACATGGGAATTAACATCTTTGTGGTTTAATAAATATAAAAAATGAAGACCAGGCAGATATATTTCCTTCTCATGTGCTACAATGGTCAGCAGTGTGTTTGACCATTCGCGACTCCAGCAAAACGGACGCCACCAAGCGGGAAAACCGGGAACCAGCCGGTCCAGGTCGCTCCGCGCCCCTCCGCGTCTCTGGTGGCTTTCGCGGACACGTGTTGTCGGCACGATGGCGAACAGTAATTTCACGAAGGTCCGAAAATTTCCTAAGTCTGCCTGAGTGTTCATTAGTGCGGTGAAGCCTCAGTAGATTGTTTCCTTCCACCACGTGTTTTCAATTTCTTGGATGGGGAAAAATCCCGGAAAAACGTTTTGATTTCTTGTCTGTCTCAAATCACATTCAAAGTGACGACTGCTTGGTAACTAATAAGGGGTTTCTTTATAAGGATGTAGAACAGTGGGAGGACGACAGACGAGGCATTTCACTGAAGGGAACACCAATGCCACCTCCTTCAAGTGAATGGGAAGGTTCGATAGCTGCTTTTCTTGAGTTTGGTTGTGTTCGATTAGCTTCAAGTTTGAGCCACCCACGCCGGTCGGTGCGTTGGCTAGTCATCTTAGCTGCTTTTCGCCGAAAAATCCTCTAGACCACTCTGAAGGAGTTGGGCTGATTTCGCAATTATTTGATTCAGGAAAGCCTGCTCGCTGCAAATGATGAATGAGGGAAATTATCTGTTTTTCAAAAGGTGGGGGACGCGTCTCGCAACGTTAGAAGCTGTCACGGCATTATGATCTATCGCGCCTCCAATATTTATATTATACCCCCGTCGAATTAAGCCAGCAGCAATATACGTCTACATTTCTCAGGTTGGCCGGCCACAAAAATACTCATTTTTTCCGTTCAGGATTCGAAGTCAAGTTCAATGCAGAGAGGTTCTGCGTGAATCTCCAATGAAGACTCTCTTCAGTTTATCCGCATTCGTCTCCGTGTTACCGGCTAGAACCATTTCGCTAAGTTTAAGTTAATATCTCTCTGTCTGTCAAATATACTTTTATTCAGCAGTTCACCTAATAGCTAATTAACTAAGCTCATATTTCAAACCGAAGAATATACTAATATCGCTTTAGTGGGACACCCCCGCCAATAGTATGTAATATAATACATAACCCGCTCGTCAAAATGACTTCTCGATTGCTACAAAAACCTGAATTGAAATACGAGTATCAGCTGCTTAGTGCGGCGCCGGGGGGTTAACATGCTCCTTGGCCCAAGAAGCGCTTGCTTAATTTTCGTAATTTTCCTGCAGCCTGCGTTGTTGACCGAGCAGACGACTGAACCTGTTTCTTAAACGCGTATACGCACAAAAGCCCGATTTCGCGGACAGATAAGTCGCATGGTCGAGGCATGCGAGTTAGCTGAAAATTACTTTCGGAGGAATAATCCTGTAGTCATTGCCGCTTTCCTCAGATGATCAAAACTGATTAGTATATTACCGTCTCTCCAGAGCCCATAGTTTCGGTTTCGAACGAAATCTCCGAAACGAAAGTTTGACATGAAAAGAAAAAAAAAAAAACAGTTGGAAAACAAAACTATGCTCTGCAAGTTTATGTGCACCGGCTACACTTAACCGTCTCAGCTCAAATACCTATAAAATTGGGCATTAAACAAAAGAAACTCTGTTAAATTGAACGCGCCACCTGTTAAGGCGGCCCGGCCGAGCCGACGCGACCTGGACTCAGCCGCCATGTTTGTTTGGTGGTGGCGCCCCCTATAGGTCACTGGAGTCGCGAATAGAGCTTGCGAGGGCTGGAATAAATGGCGAGGGTTCCTCACTGTAAGAGTGGCTGTACAGGGCCTTGAGGTTCTGAACAAAGGCGCCTTTGAGGCGGACCCGCCAGGCTGCTTCGTTGGCTTCGATCTGCTTGCGCTGAAAAAGCAAGGTCATTCAGTACAACGGTTAAAGGAGATGCCCATTCAGACCTTTAAAACAGTTCCCAATGAAAAAGTGAAAAGGCTCAAAATACTGTTGAGACCGGTTATAACGAAGTCGGTTATAACGAAATAGCGGCTACAGCGAAGCGATCACAGTTTCCCATTCCCTTTTGTACTTCGTTAGAACCGAAATCCGTTATAACGAAATAGCGGATATAGCGAAGTGATTTCCGATTACCGTTGACTTCGTTATAACCGGTCTTGACAGTAGGGTTTTGTTCAGCAATGCTCCAGATGCTGGCAAAACCTGAGAGCCTCAGACTAAAGTGATGCTTAAAAATAAAAATAAATGGTTTGAAATAATCTTTTAACGAAGACATTTTCTAGATTATGACTCCTTTCTAAAGGATTGGCTCGCTTTTGATCCTGACAAGATTGTTAAACAGACCGAAAATTTAAAATTTGTTTTACTGGATAATTTTGAGAAAAGTAAAGGTGAATCCAGTTCGTAAATCATGTGAGAAACGTAATTCTCTCAATTACTGACCACATTTCCTTAACTCTTTGAGTGCCAAGTCTTCTTCTCGCACGTCGAAAGCAAATTTTGGTCCCACGCAGAAAAACGATAGTGGGAATTACATAGCATATTTAGTTATCAAAGGTGCAGCAATCTATGGGTTTAAAGTTAAGTGGTGTCTGCGTGCCTCCAATTAAGGACATTTTTCTCGAAATAAACTTTGAGGCACTGCACCCTGAGGTCACGCTTGTCGAGTAGCCTTAACCAACATTTCTTTTATTTGAAACTGGGACTTTCTCATTTAGTTTATTACTACAATAGTTAATTACTAATTTATACCTCTCAGTGTTCGCCATAAAGCAAGAAATTGAACAACACAAGTTCGCCTTTCTGGAACGAGGAAGGAGTAACCGAGACAGAAGTCCCCCAAGCAAAACTCTCCATACGCCTAAGCAGGTGTTATTACGAAACAAAACACTGCCCTAAACAAAAAAAATAAAATCGACAGCCCGGTTTGGAGAGATAGGGAGCAATACGAAACTGAAACCTGCATGGGCGCGGCACTCAAAGTGTTAATCAACCTGCTTCGCAAAATTTAGAGCACATAATTTATTCTCGTACAGCTACTTTCTTTTTTTTTTTATATATTTTTTTTTTTTTATGTTTGCAAAATTATTGTTGCGGGCCTCTGTCCTCAAAACCAGACTTCTGACTGTCGCGAAGAATTTAGTTTCCACCCTTGACCGTGGGTCGCAGGTTGAATGCATCTTGATTGACTTTTGCAAAGCTGTGAATAAGATTCCTCGCCAACTCTTGCTTTTTAGACTCGATAAATTCGACACAGATTCCAATGCGTTGACCCGGATTAAGGGGGGATGAGGGTTCTTAAATATATTTTTTTATTTATTACCATATGTCACTCAAATACAGTACAGAGATGCACCTCTAAATGGTGATTTTAAATCTGTGATTGGATTGAACATATATTTCTTCATACAAAAGATAGGGCAGAACATATAATCCTAATTAGAGATGCCACAAACTTTTTTAAAATCTGAGGTTTGAAAATCGCACTGAAAGGTCCGAGCCTTTTCAAACTTTTGAATTTATTACGCTGAAAAATTAATCGAGTTTCGAAACTCCAAACTTTTGACCTCAAAATATGAGCGAAATTTCGAACTTTCGAATTAACCACGTTGAGAAATTCTACATTTTTCTAATTGAATTAACCATGCTGAAAAATTTGACATTCCTCGAGCTTTGCCGCTTTGGGTTGGCGTGGAAGGAACAGCAGCCGACGCGGGAGAGCAGCCTGGTCGGTTCGACGGGCTCAGAAATTTGATTCATGCCCATAGGTTGACTCTTCGGTTGCTATTGCAAAGCAACCCCCAAAATTAAAGTACAAAAAAAAAAACATATATATATCGAACTTACAAAAAATATTAAGCATCCGCTTATCCCACAATAAGTGCCCACCTTTCAATTTTTGTAACATTTGGAAAATACACAAGGGACATATCTTTAGATATTTCCATCCCCTACTTATACATGATAATCCCCAAATTGTAAGTGGGCGCTTGCTCGGGGTTTTAGGCTATGCCTAAAAGATTATGCTATAAATTCTCCATTCCAAAAGTCGGTGCGAAATAAACTGTCGCGTAGGAGTCGCGTAGGGGTTGCTAACCGAGCATCTATGGTGATGCACCCCATGTTTCCGAAAACAGCGTTACTGGTCTACCATTTTCTTTAACCACCTGAGACTGGGTGGAGAATTTAGAAAACCAAAAGTGGAAGAAACAGGAACATGAAGACGGAAGGCGTCGTCTCAAACTAGGCTGAAAGTTTATTTAGTAACACTTCATATAAACCAAAAGCTCAAAACCAGCTCTCCTCCGCCATTGCAGTCTTATCGTTACTGGCCGTCACATTTTCTTTACTGCGGTCTGCCGAAACAAGCATCAAGGGGGTCTGACTCTTTAAGAAAAGTCTTGGGACTGTGACAGGCGACCATGGGCCGACTCACCAAGAAAAGGACCCTTTCCGAGGGCTGGGCAAGCCTGGCTGCCACTGAGTGTACCTCCACCTGGCCCTGCACCTCCCAGGAGAGCTGCTCCCCCGCGCTGTTCCGCAGGCTCGCCAGGGAGACCACTTCTCCAGGGAAGGTCTCATGCTGGACACGTGGAAGACGCCCGCTTTGCTCTCGTGGCATCAAGTGGTTCGCAAAAGAGCCCGACACACAGCTTCCCGAAATACTGGCAGTGAACTTTAGCTACAAAGTTGAAAAATGCGTAGGAAGCAGATCCCAAGAAGCAATTTTTCAAATTCGTTTCGACGACATTAAGCTGCTGTTTCGCCAGTGAAGACAAACTTATCTTTTATGAATTTTGGGCTAGATTTATAATTGGGAAACTGAACTACGGCACATACACCGACGCTTTGAGCCCGCTTTAGAGTCGCAGAAATCAGCTTCTCAACGTATCACGATGTGATTTACCGCAGAGGTGCGGCTAGGTGGCGGAAGTGCTGAGTGAAAATATCAACGGACGAACTTGCCTCGTACGACGTCCAGACCATGCTCGCTTAGTTGCATGTGCTACCGACAGATGGCGCAGCATGATGCCAGAGTATGCGGCACCTTGGCCGATCACCTCCGTAACAAAAATGGGGAGCTGGGAAAGATTTAAAACAATGTTTTCCTGTTCATTTTTGTTTTTTTCAAATTAAATTATGGCACTTTTAGGATTGTACATTAGAGAGGTGTGCTGGCATAGTGAACCATTTAGGAAGATTGTCTGCTAAGCTCAGCGCCAGTGCCCCTCCGACGTTTCTGACATCTGTCGGCTGCTTTTACAGCAATAGTCAGTGACTGGTTAAGAGTAATAAGGAAGCTCTTCCCACCTCTTTTCACCTTAGCAGAGCGAACACTGAAGAAGAGGCGACCTCCTCTCCAGCGTTTGCTCTGCTAAAGTGGAGAGAGGTGGGAGGAGCTTCCACTTCACTCTTGTCACCAACTACGTATAGGAGATCATGGTTAGGACATTTTCCGCAAACGTTGACAGAGATTACCCAAAACAGGATTTTTCCTTTTTTCATTTTTTTAACAAGGTAAGTTTATTTATTGATATTTTCACTTCCCACTTCCCCACCTAGCCGCACCTGGGACGCTCGATAAATCTAACTGGGCGTCGTGCTCCAACTGGAAGGGAGGCTTCCCCGAACACTGCCATTGCTGCTCCTGCAATGGTTTGCACAGGCTGAGGCTGCATGAGGCAAGATTACAGCGCGCGACAGCAGACACCAAACCACGTGAAGGGGCACAGGTGGCATGATCGTTTGTTGTTGGAGTTTGTGGAGAGTGCGAGGAAGCGGAGGGGAAAATCGACACTCCACTTCGACTATTTAGCCACAGTCTTTAGCTGGTTAAGTGAAGCAACAAGAGTTGTGCAATCATACATCAAAAGCCTTGTTTATTTTTGGTTATATTTTTTTTTTCGCTGTTTCCTTTTTCATATTTTTTTGCCACCATTTATTTTAAAATTAAGCCTGTTTTTTTTTCTTTTTTCTTTTTACGGATCAAGAGAGTGTTGTTTTTTGTTTATACATACCGGTGTTTCCTTAAACTTCCGTTGTTTTTTTGTTTTTTTTGCGTTTGATTGCTTGTGTTGTTGAGGTGCCAGCCACGCACGCGGGCGGCGGTGCTGGCGGTTCTTGTCGACTATGCTTTAACGAGGTTTTACAACATTTAGCAGTTCTTGGCTGCCCCACTGAGTCAGCTTCTGTTTGTCACTTTCTTCAATAACTACCGTATTTACTCGATTCTAAGCCAGCATCAATTCTAGGCAGACCCCGCAAAAACGGCAGGGCCGAAAAATCAAAAAAAAAATTCTCGATTCTAGGCTGACCAAAAAGTATAGGAAAAACACCATAAATTAAACACAGAACTGAATTTATCTGCAATGTACAGCACTATTTCGGTCACGAATCCGACGGTATGCTCACGGTTAATGTCCGCGTTTTTCCTGATCATTCGTCGTCCTCACTGGTACCTTTGTCACTGTCCACTTCCCACAACGCAAGGTCATCCGTACCGTCCAGGGCATTCGAGATGCAACACTTTCGGAACGGCTTTACTACCAGTTCCGCCGGGATGTCGTCCCATGCGGCCGCGATCCAGCTCGTGGTGCCTTCGCTTCCGCGGTCCTGAGAACGCCATTCTTGTTGCCGCACATGCAAAGAGCTGACCACGCTGCTTTCTCCAGCGATGCACATTTGTTTCGCCCAGGCCGAAGTCACGCTGGGCTTGCAGGTTGGACGAGTGTTCAGCAGCCAAGACAATTTTCCTCTTAAAAGCCGCAGAGTAGTGGCATCGACTGGTCGATGCCATAGCGTCGAGTAGAGACAAACGTTCCGTGCGTTCCGTGGTACACAGCGTATCTTCCCGAAGCGATGTAGACAAGATGGCGTCCCGCGGTCATGGCGGAGCCGGATCCTCGTATCTAGGCTGACCCCCGAGTTTCGGATTTAATTTTTTTGGAAAAACTACCGGCCTAGATTCGAGTAAATACGGTATTGTAGATGCGCATAAAGTTCATTTGAAGCTTACATTAGCATTCTTTGGTATACTGAATTGTCAATATATCAAACTATTCGCAATCCCCTTGGAATTCAATATATCCGGGTTCGGCCGTAGCGCTGTGCTTTGAAGCAGTGAAATCAAGGTTTCATAAATGTTCAAGCTATCTCCTTGCAAATGATTTGAGAGAGAGTGGCAAGGAGTCCCTCGCTGTACTTCAAGGTAGTTAGGACGTCCTTATGACATTACCCATAAGCATGTCGACTGTTCACGTATAGTATTCAGGCTAAATCCCTAGAAACTTATTTACCTCTGTCAAGTGATAATGTATGTCTCTAATTGCAAACAAAACTCGCACAGAAAACATGTCACAAAGGGTTTTCTAAGCTGCAACAAAAGCCGGCTAGTGTAGAAACAGCTGCATTCTTCCCCTATGCCTAGTCTGTTTGGGGTCTTTCCCTCCAAACCAAGCGGGCCAAAGCTGGTTCTGCAGGGCACCCACCGCTTTTTCCTGCTGGCTGAGACGTTCCAGGAGTGGGCAGACGTACTCCGTCGGGTAGTTCGGGGGAGCTGGCTCAAAGTCCGGCAACACCGCATGAATGGCCTGCCGGACGAAGAAGCAGTGGCCACAAAAAAAGTGCTTGGGACATCAACAGTTAGAAGTTTGAGGAACCGAAAGAAAGGAATATCACGCTTTAAGAGATCTTCACAGTATTGAGATCCTTCCAAAAATTAAATTCAATGTACCAACAAAGAACAGGCACTGCCTTCAAACTCCTTCCGTCGAGTGCTGTCCAAGACTTTCAGTTGGTTAGCAAGGGAACAGAGGAAGCAAGATCATGTTTCTATTAGTTTATAGGGTCTCTATATGACTTCACAGAACTCTGAAGCAGCATGTGAATAAAATATAAGGGAAGTCACTAGGCTCATTCGATTTACCTGAACCGGCCTGCTCCAGTGCAGAAAAGTGCAAGGCAGTGTACTTCCGGCTGTGTTCTGAGACAGGCTGCCCTTGTAAGTCGAATATGGCGGTGTGCATCGAGTGCAGCTGGAGCAGGAGGTGCAAGTAAATCGAACAAACCGACTGCAGACCGTTTCAACGAGCGGCACAGTGCTGCAAGTTGTAACTTCATCTAAATATAATCAAACGCCTTTATAATGAACACCTGCACTATGAGAACGCCCGTTTACCAAGGCAAAAACAGAGCCCCGGCCAATCTCCCATGTCATGTGTTCAATGTGTTTTTCTGACTATACTACAACGAATTCCTGTTTAACAAATATTTCTGTTTATTGAAGCAATTGCACGATTTTGTAAATTTTCTAGGACAATAGTAACTGATTTAACGTAAATTGTCACTCTCAAATGACGTGCGTAGAGAACAAAAATACTGCGGCAGCAGCGACAATAAATACTGCCACCGCGCCCCTCTGTCATCGCCGCGCCGCACCCCTCACTGTCGCTGCACCGCACATTCCCGGTTTTGGGTTCAAATAATATGTTAGTGTACGACCTTGCATCTAGATGGCGCTACGCGACTATGTTGCTACTAAAAAAGCCTGTACGCAACATAGTCACATGGCACCATCTAGACACGAAGTTGCACATTAACAAATTATTTGATCCGGGCCAAAAGTGAACACGAAGTAGCAAAGGAAGCAGCACGGTGAGTGGGTGGATGCGGCGTCCCCTCTGCTGCGAGCTGCGGGCTGCGTGCACACGTGCATACTATCGTTTTGCTTGCGCCGTTGATTGAGTGCACCGCCACTCCACTCCAACACAAGTTTTCTTCTTTTTTTTCGACGCACCCGTGGGGCAATACGCGCACTCATTTTCTTATTTTGCACGTGTGCAGGGGCGGATGCAGGATTTTCCTGAGGGAGGGGTCAGGTGTAGGTCAGCGTACCATATGCTTAGGAACCCCTCCCCCTCTCCTTTGTTTTACGCCCCAAATTTTACACATGCAGAAATCAAGAGGGGGGTCAGGACATCCAAACCCCCCCTCTAAATTTGCCCCTGGTGTCAGCGCATTTAAAAGGATCCGCAAGAACGAGAGTATCTTAAAAACAAGCATTTTCAAGGGCAGTTGCAACTTTTTAATGCCGTCTTGGCATTTGTTTGACCGATGCGTCGATCTTCATCAAGATCCAAGATTCCCAATCCTAATTGATCCGAGCCCCAAAATGTTTTGCCTTGGAGCAATAATATCCGGTCGAGGAAGCATGATCTGCGACTCAACCCCCGACGCCAAAATCTAAGGGAAATCAGTAAAGCTGCACGGAAAAACGCGCCCCCCCTCCTTGTGCCGGACATGTGTGAGAAAGGGCCCAGTCGGCTCAATTGTGCGCCTCACCCCGTCCTCCCTCCCCGCTGCGCCACGCACTGCAGCAGTTGCATGTACACCATGGTCGCGTGCCGAGTGCATGGCCGATTCTGCCGTGCTGTTACGGTACGTTGCAGCTATGATAGTGCTGCCGCGCCCGATCCTACGAGAGCAACGCAGTTGCCTCCGAGAGTAGATATCTTGGCGCTTTGATATGAAGGTTGGTTTCGATCAGTACGTTTATCCTGCTTTTTTAGATTGGTTGCGGAGGGGGGAGGGGGGGTTGCAATGTTTATAACGTTGTGACCTGTATAACAAAGGATTTTCACGCTCTCGGAGATTTCGTTATAGAGGTGTTTGACTGTATAGGCAGTTTAAAATTGAGGCACAAACCAAAAGAAATGGCAGAAAAGAACACCTTTCATGTACAAATGCAGGCCCATAGCGCATTCAGTGTTTAGGACGGAAGAGACGGTGCGACCGACTCCAAAGCTTCGGTGAAAATGTGTCATTCATTTTCTCATGCCGTCGGGCTCGTGCCAGGGAGTAACATCGTTGTCTTTGTCTGTGGCGACACCGGACCGATCGACCACGACGAAGAACTCCTCCCCCCCTTCCAACTTCTATGCTCTATCTCGGGAGTTGTGTGCAACAAAGGCAAAGGCACATGGTTTTAAGACCTGTGTTCTTTTCACGAGCGCTCGTGAAAGAAAAGCAAATCTGAAAGTCATGCACTCGAGCCTGTGCTCTTTCCTCTGCTGCACGCAACTCATGAGATGGAGTATAGAGACGTCGCCCGCAGGCTGCAGAGCCATTCAGTGACGGTGGCGGACAAGGCTTCGTAGAGCAACGCGGTTGTTGTTGGCGTGCTGCGAGTGCGACAACATGGCGGAGAGTAAGAAAAGCGGCACGCGGGGGCCACGCAAGCTAGCCAACGCCGCGGCTGGGCATGGCAGGTGGGTACGACGTCACTCATCGGCACAAGCTAGGAAATAAACAGAATGTTTTCGCCCGACCTACAAGTCAGTCGCACCATACAAAACAGTCCCAACTGCCGAGTCTAACTGGGAGAAGGACCGATGACTTTTCCAAAACAACTAGAAAGAGGCAGAAGAGATATGTCCACAAATACCTTCAGCACTCTCTCCCTCTGGTCCCCCAGAAACTTGCAACTTTTGAATAGATCCTCCGGCGTGATGCCCTGGGAAGAAAGTTGTCGATATATTGATGGTCCTGTAATGGATGCATCCCTTGCATATCTTAAGCTGTGTCCATATAAAATAGTACCTTGTTCAAACACCTTCACTAAAACAATGCTGGATTTTTTCTTTTTAACCCAGGGTGTGGTATATCAGGTTCAAAAGCACCAAAACTACAGAAAGACAATAAGGAAGGGGCGAAAATAGGGCACTCAAAAAAGGGCATTTTCCCGTTCAGCCCTGCCCATTCCAAAAAAGTTAAAAAAGGTACTGACTCTATGCTCCTCAAGGCATCACTTAAAAATAAACTGCATTAAGGTAGCAATTTGGGCCAGTTGGTCCATGATCACCGCAAAAAATACAAGGACAAGAAAGTAGACAGACAAGAGCGAACTAATGCACTCTTGTCTGTCTACTTCCATGTGCACAAGACTTAGAAAGTCATGTGCACATGGCACTCAAGAGAGTTTCACGAAACAGGTAACACACAACCCGAGAAGATGGCAACCACAAAATAAATGTCCACGAAGAGTTCGAGCGGTTACTTAGCGTGACACAGGGCCACTTTGCACCCCCGTATGTGTACATACAGTTTCTCCACACTAATACAGTACATCACATTCTGCGTTGCCACACCAGTACGGCAAAAGGGCAACTTTTTCGTATGGGCCACTCAAGATACACTATCAAATTACCTCAACATCTCGTGCATAAAGGAGATAAATTAGCCCTAGCTTTCTACATGTCCAGCAAGAATATACAATGCGAGGTAGAAACATGCCCAATGCCTCTCTCTACTTGCCAGCACTGAAAGAAACTACGACAGGTATGACCAGTGCGGCCGACAAGCTGGCACTTGGTCAATGAGAGAACAAAAAATTTAACAGAAGCTCGACCACACCGACAGCTACTTGAGAGCATGAAATACGTCGAGCACAAATCGCACGCCTTGCGTGTGGTTTACATGACGTGACGTCTCAGTGCAACACGACGTCACGCGACCCGAAGTCGCATTTTCCCCACTAAATTTGGCGTGTGACGGTCAAGTACAACGGTCGAGCGTGACAACTATTCCGTGGAAAACGGCCGATCGAACGCAATCCACTTTAGTGCGTAATCGGGCTCCGGGGGCGATTCTCGCGGAGCCCAAAAGGCCGCTTTTAGAAGCCTCCCTTATTCCGTTTTCCCTCCTTTCCAACTGCACAAACGGGGGCCAAAGCGAGTCCCTAGCGACACAATCTGGGAGCGAAAAGGGTCGACTGCGGCGATCTGTCCCCGCCACTTGCCTGGCCGGCCATCTGGTGCAGCACCCCGTCCACGTCGTCCCTGGCGAGGCTCGGCTGGCGGGCGTGCGCCTCCAGGAGGGCGGCGTACGACTGGGCGTCCGGCCGCACGCCGTCGTGCTCCATCGTCCGCAGCAGCTCCTGCACCCGCCCCAGCTTGCCCTGCGTGCCGACGGCATGACGAAGTCTTCAGCGGCAGCTCGGAGGCACGGTCGCACTTTCGGAACCCCAAAAGATGGTGTTGACGCTTCACGACCGACGCGAGAGATTCATGCACAAAAGAATGACGCGAGCAATTTGTGCAAAAAGGATTGATGCGAGAAATTTGTGCAACAAGTAACGATGCCAGAAAGACCACATGCTCATGCCGTAAGATACCGGGGAAGCACCCACCCCACTTTCACCGAGAACCGGGTTAATCTAGACGCGGGCGCCTGTCCGCTCAAATCGGTGAAAACCAAGATGGTGGCCAAAAAAGAGCTCCAAAGGCAGGGTGAACGGAATCGAAGAAAGCACATTTATTTTCACATGGTATTGTGGTACTTCTTAGGGGTCCCCTAAAAAAGGGGGACCCCTAAATAGGGGGACCCCTAAAAAAAATGAAGTGGGAAAGAAAGAAAATTTTAGAAGCTCAAGTTGCTAACAAAATTGAGTGAACAGAAGTGATTCAGAAGTGGAGATAGCTAAAAATATAAACTCTGCAGGCATGCAAAAAAAAAAAAAGAAACACCTTTCGGGCACGTTGTTACAAGGCGGAAGTGAAGAGAAGAGAAGGAAAGAGAAGCCCTCGCCTTACAACGAATGCATCAGGGAAGTTCGTTGTAAATGGTTTTTGCTCTATCGAAGTACAGTAAAACCTCGTTATAACAAAGTTGAAGGAGCGGTCGTAATTATTTCGTTATAACCATTAGTTTGTTATAGCCAATGTCCATTTCTTCCCACTATTAGCAAGCAAGGGGAATTATGATTGCTTTGTTATATCCATTAGTTTGTTATATCCCGTTTTGTTATAACGAGGTTTTACTGTACTTGCTATATCGAACTGATCGTAGTGTTTTTTGTTGTTCATTATAAACGGGTTTAACTGTACACTGTCACAAAAAATTAAGCAGCAAAAAAAAAAAATCTCGACGCGGTTGAAAAATTAGAGCAACCATCCTTGCACAAGCACTAAGGGCCTATATATAGGGCGAAGGTAATTCTGAACAATCACAAAACCAAAATCTATTATCTATTAAAGGTTTAACAAATTCATGCTACAGAACAAGGGGCCGAAGGAAAGGAAGTTTTATTTTTGCTAGGCCGCTTTAACTTGCAGTGTGGTCCATAGGCAGCAGCGGCATATTCTCGAGGCAATGAGAAGTTGTCAGTCCGAACTCGTCGTTCCGTCACTCGGAGAAATGACATCACACAGCACAAACAAACACGCAAGCCACACAAAGAACGTGGAAATGAACTTGAATACCCTTGCGCCTATGCATTGTGAGAATGTAAAGGCCCTTCGGAGTTTATGATGTTCCATGCAACTAAAATATTATTCTAATAATGAATTGCATCAAATGGCACCTCGACAAGCAAAGCAGAAAGCAAGACGGACTTCATCGCATCCGTGAGCGACCATCGAGATGGGCGTCTCGATGGAGGGAAATTTCACGAAGTGAGGGAAACTCCGTCAAAAATAGGAAAATTTTAGGCGTCCAATGAAAGAGGGAGAAATATGAAACGCCTGTCATGTCTGCGCTACAGGCGGTCACCCTCTGCCCGGATGCTCTATTCCCAAACGTCTATAGTCTCCTCAAGATCCTAGCGACTCTGCGCGTAACAACGGCAGAAGCTGAGCGCTCATTCTCTTCACTACGACAGATAAAAAGATACCTGAGAGCATCCACTTCATATGAGCGACTGCTCGGTTTAGTGCTTTTGAATGTTCACCACGACAATGAAGTTCAAGCGGTGGACATCCTGGATATTACTTGCCGTGAATGCAGGCGGTCGCATCTTAAAATGTAGGTGCTTGGCATAAACTAAATGATTCAGACAGCCTGTAAATTGCTTTTTGAATTAACTATCACAGTTACTTCATTATTCGCGGTAATTTCTAGTCGATAGCATGTAATTCTGATCAGTACACAAGGTGTGCGAGGGTGCAGTGCCACCCGTTGCTGACAGTGCAATTGTTTTTACAATTAATTTAATATTCCTTACACCAATGACATTGTTTTATATTATCACCATGTGTGTGTTTTATTATGTCCACTTCAGTTTGATTTAACTATGTATTTCAGTGAGGATAGTTTGTTATACTTTGCCTTAAAATCGCCATCCTTCACCCCAGAAATGTTTCAAAATATCCGTTCTCTATACATCTAATATCAAGTTCCGCATTCCATCAAATAAGCGTGAATGGAGAATATTGACTATTTTATTTATTTGAGCATTTTCCACTTTACAAACATTCCTCTCGAAAGCAAAGAAGTTGGAGATAGTCCGCGCTCCCCCTTTGCTCCGTGCCTTGTGCAGGGTAGCGAGCGGGCCCAAGGCGAAGGGGGATGGGGGGTAGCTTTGGTATTTTGGGGTGGGTTCCGACCCCTGAACTCCCCCTCTGCCTACACTACTGGTCCCCGTGAAAGGGACTTACAGATGTTTGGATGCCTCTGCACACAATCTCGCAGCACAGCTAGCTCTGGAGGCATAAACGTGGCTGCGTCCAACTAAATAGGACAGCTGTTAGAATGGTAAATTTGTCAGGCACGAGTAGTGAATTTTGAGTTTGAAGCAAATACTACTGGTTTTGGGCGGATATTTCGGAATCAAATATAAAATAGTTTCTCCAAGTTTATCACTACTGTTGCACCATGCTTAAACGAAAATGCAGCTGAACTCGTGACAGTTGCTCCCAAGCTTCCACTTGTTCATTTATAAGTTCATTTTAGTCTAACTATATTTATGGACTGTGACCTCAGAAGTCCAATGTTTTGGGATGACAGGTAAATGACGAATTTGACATAAAATGAAACCTATAGAGATGACCAGCCATACCAAATCAAAATTGAGTGGATTTACAAACCTTGCTATATGCGAATACTCTTTCTTAAATCTCGAATTAAAAAAAAAAAAGTAAAGTGCATATTACGAATGATGAACGCAGGTTGTCAGGGCATCTCTGACTAACATATACTTGCATAACAGCCGCAGTTTAATTTTGAAAATATTGCTGCAATGTAAATATCAACATTCACAAAGTTTCAGTTCCTTTTTTAATACATCACAGCCCCTTTGCTCGAGGGTAATGAACTTTAAGCGCGGCAAAAAGTTAACCACCCTGCCCTACTAGGTACGTACAAGTACCTAGCAAATCATCTCAACGGCTGGATGCGTGATAGCTTCCTGTTTTATTATGCGGTAGTAGCCCGTCTCACCTACTAGTTGTAGCCAACGTAAGTAGCTTTCGTGTCAAAATTTCTGAAAAAGGAGGACCCGAGTATGTGCGCTGCCAGGTTTTCACGAAGCTTTGTGGCATACATGTGAGCTTGAGAAACACTTTTCGTAGCTCATGGTACAAATAATGGGAAGTCAAGACAACCCTCAACCAAATTTTCTTCTCAGTGCAAAAGAGGATGACGAAGTTCAGTGCTGCGAAACAATGAGGAAGAAGTGAGCAGTTAAAGGCGGGCGGCACACCGGCAGCATGGTTGGCGAGCATGTAAGAACTGTACATAAAGCTTTCTTCATAAAATAGAAATTGTGTACTTCGACTCCACTGAAAATTGGTATGCGGTCTGCTTCTTTGTGCTTTCACTGCTTGGCCGATCGAGTAAAGACAGTCCACTAGGATTCCAAAGACGTTACCATGTCTACAATTACCACGTCCCTTTAGGTTTAGGAATCGAGAGATTCGAAAAACTTTCTAAAAAAAATGGTGCGAGATAGTTGCTCATACTTTGTGATTTAAGTGAGGTAAGAGAAAGCGAAAGCTTCCTGCACCATTCATTGCTGACAAACATGCCCAATAGTGCAGTGACTGTGACATACATCAGTTCCAAAGTGAACGACGCTCACTGGGAGGGGCACCGCCATGTTTCCCCGCTCTCCCTGCCCTGCTGGACACGTGATTTAAAATTCCCCCTCGTAGAGACACGCTGCTAACTTCCTGCCATGTTTAAAGTTAACCAGCTTCGAGCAAACGGGTCCAGGCGCGCGTATGCACCATCCTGCTCTGAAAGTGTGCTTTTCCCCCAAGCATGCAATTGTGATGTTCATACTTTTCCAATGGTCGATCGAAGCAGATTAAGGCCTGCTCAAACAGGAAACTTCAGAAATCGTAAGGCGACACAACTCCGGCAAAAATCGTAAAAGTTGAAGCATCCGGCAGTCCGACTTCAGAAATCGTGAGGCAACACAACTCCGGCAAAAATCGTAAAAGTTGAAGCGTCTGGCAGTCCGATGTCTGTTCGAACACCATTGAGCAAAAATCATAATTTTCCTCCTCACTTCCTCCGCTTTTCGGTGACCTCGGTGCATGTCAGACTTGACGTCACACACCACCAGCCAATGTTGTCCATCTGAGCTGCCGGATTTTCGTATACTTGGACGTTTGCCAAGATTTACTCGATCTTGCTTCAGGTTAAAGGTTTTGTACCTTTGCATTCGAAAACCTATCAGCGTCCAGCGTCGCTCTACCTGCATTATCACGGACACGACCCGCTGGAATAGCTCGGATCCAGGCAAGATTTTAGACACTGCCCTTTCCTGTCCCTTTTTCGGGACCTGAAGAGCAGTGGAGGCCTGGAGCGATTGACCGACAACCAACCTGCTTGTCAATGGCTGTCCGGACTCACGTGATGAGCATGCTCAAAGCCCCCATGGAGGACACGGGCGAAATTTGATGGAGAGAAGTTTCTCCCCTGGCAAAAAAAAAACGGACGGAAGCAGACCGCCGTACGGCCTATGTCAAAGTTGTGTTGCCTCACGATTCATGTTTGGACAGGCCTTTACCCCATTAAGTGCGCCTCTTACTGAGCACCGGTGCACTGCAGAAAAGCAAAACCCGCAGAGCTCGCTGCCACAGGTGTTGCTTTTCCGCGGTGCATCCGTGCCCTGTTATAAGTGCACTCAAAGGAGCTAACCCATCGCGAACAGCAGCTCTATTTCGCCAGACGCCAGGAAACGGGATGCCCCTTCGAATTTGGGGGCGCACCCCGGCAAAGGAATGACAGGGGGTCACCTTGGCAGAGAAGCCCCTGAGCAGGCTGTTGAAGACCTTGACGTCCACCACGGCAATGCCTTTGTTCTGCTCCTTGGCCCTGTTCCGGTGGAAGTGCAGGGACGACAGCGCCTGGTCCAGCTGTACAGCGGGAGACAACTGCTAGAGACATGCCCGCTGCAATCGGGCGACCAGACCTCAAGACCTTCACAAGCAAGAGATAGCACTCAAATGGCTGGTATTGGGCAGTTGACGACTACCGTAAAGTTTTGTAAGGATGCCCTCCCCCGAGAGATTGCCAATCCCATTTTTCTGGCTAAATATCTATAACATAAATATTCTGCAACATCGCCCACCCTCCCCTTCCCGTCGGACGTCACACGATGTCCGACGGGAATGGCAAGAACTGCACGATCTGCGGTATCGATACATCTGACAGACAAGTTCATAATGGGTTCCCACGTTATTGTCTGCGACCTGCACGCACGATATAGGCTCCTGTAACACGCAGGTTGTTCCCGTGTGTATACTGCATCGTGAAATGCCAATCTGCTGCGTCGGCAATCTGAGGTATCCGTTCCCGTGAAATACTAGTTTGCAGCGCATTCCCGCGTTTTTGTACACGATCTGTGCGCAAGATGTCGATTCCCATAAAATGCAAGTCGTTCCCCAAGTATGTGTATTGCATCCTGAAATGCGATTCTGCTGCATCTGCGATTTGCAGTATTCGTTCCCGTGGCATGCAAGTTTGTATCAGATTCCCACGTTTTAGTCCACAATCTGCACACGCGATGCTGACTCCCTCAACACGTGAGTTGTTCCCGCATGTATATTGCATTGTGAAATGCGATTCTGCTACGTCTGCGATCTGCAGTTTTCGTTCAACTGACAGGCAAGTTTGTAGCGGGTTCCTGCTTGTTTATTGCTCCATGAAACTTGAATCTGCTGCGTCCGCGATCTGTGGTACGGTTCACACTATGGAAAATTTTTTGGGGAGAAAGGTGGCATTCATATTAGTAACAAGAAAAGACCATATAAGTGGTCATTTGATAAAAGCGAGAGCGCCAAGGAAACAATAACAGCGGCCTAGAAGGTGGATGAGAACATTGCAAACACTGAAAGTATATTTAAAGGAGAACTCTGTCGATTTTTTAACTACCTAATCTAAAGGCATTATCTGAATGTGGATGGCTTCCTGATTCCGAAATGCTATCTCATTCCCCCAAATTCACTCTAGTTAATTGAAAAAGGGATATTTCGTACGCTGCAGAAACCGAAACATTGTTCTCCCTAGGCTTCCTTCAGTTTTCTCCGCCACCCAAACGTGAGGTCACCGATGAACAGCGAGGCGTGCGGCCGGCAATCAGGTACGCTTGCGCCCGTCTTTCTTGCATCTAACAGCGAGAAAACCTGGGCGTTCGTGCTATTTGAAGTTGATAATAATCTCTATTTGCACAAAGTATGACCTTGGCCTGCGTGCTGAACTATGAGAAAGTTAAAGAAAACGGAAGCAATTGGGATTTTGAGAAAACCGTTTTGGCAACTCGGTATGCTCAAGCCCACGGCTCGCTAGTTTCGTGAAATCTCTAGCAAATCCATTCTCCTTTTATCAGAAGCTGGCAGTTACGCCGGCAAAGAAATGTGGACGAGTCCAGCAATATATTTTTTTTTTATAAATTACCCAAGCACCTTGGAGAATGCTCAAAATGTGAAAACAGGTGCCCCACACGCTCGTCTTATACCTGAAGGAACGTGGCATTTGTATTAGAATTTCTAGAATAGACGTCAGTTAGAGTACATAACTTTCAGAAGTAAAAGCCGTGGGGGTGGGGCACATTTTATATATTCGTTTGCTTTTTTTTTTTTTTATTAGTTTTCAGCATTTATACGTCTTCCACACATACATTGTATTTTCATGCAACGCAGATGCAAGTGCATCTGCGTTAGGTTGTCACGTGACCAGCGCGCCGAGAAAACCGGGCGGAGAGGCGGAGAAGTTTGGAGACAGTGAACGCTTTTGACTCCTTGCAGGATGCTACTTGTTTTGCAAATGTGGCCCATAAACCATGTGATCCGCATGGAACAGCTGCCCCTTCTCTAAAATCTAGGCACTCTATACCGCCAGAAGACTAACTTAAATTCGAACATGGTGCCGTGCGCACTTCTTTGTTTGCTCCATTTTATGACGGCGTCGCTGGTCAGTCTTTGCGCAAAAGTCTAACTTCGCTCAAGCACCGATTCAGCGAATCATCACCATGGCTGTGCTGACAGAAGTGCTGTCAAGACGAAGGGCGCTCCCAGACCGCTGCCTTTTTTCAGTTGAATAATGCTTAGTCCAGTAGGTAGAAACGATTTGATTTGAAAGCCAAGGCAGCATTTAGCGTTCCGGAAAAGGTTTGTTTGTGCATCTCGCCTGAAAATGAATTCATCTATTAAATGGTAGGGTGACGATAGCACAGCGACGGAAAAGTTCTTGAGATGAGAAGACAGTCGAACCGCTGCCCTTTTCAGAATGCTTAGCCCAGCGAATAAAGATACTTCGGTGGGAGTGTTGAAACATCAGTCTGCGTTGCGAAAAAGGTTTGTTCATGCATTTCGCTTGAATACAATTCGACGTGCCATCTATTCAGTGTTGTACACGTTTCTCAAAAAAAACGAACGAAAGCTCGTTCCTCGTTCCTTCTGATATTTGGGAACGCGTTCCCATTACAAGTTCCATACCTAAAAAAGGAACTCGTTCCCGTTACAGTTAAAAAAATGGAACGTATCGTTACATATACGTTATATTTGTATTTTGCTGATTACCATATTGAGTTGGATCGAACCAAGTTTTATATTTTTTCTCTATCCCATCAAATGCCAACGTAAGAATTTGAATGCCATGATAAAAAGGCACCTGGAGAAGAAAACAAGCGGAAGCAGAAATTTATTTCATGATATATTTACCATTAAAAATCTCAGCTTTTAACCATACTCATGTTTGTGGTGGGCCATGCAGGCAAGCCAAATGTACTGTTGCATTGTACGAGCATTTTACTACAACCTCGTACGTTTCAATCTAACAAAGTCCCGTGTTCGAACTTAACAACAGTTGCTTATCGATGTTGCTGTCTGTAAGACGAGCAATTGAAGAGGAGGGTAGGTCTTTTGGGAGGTCAGTCTTGAAAACTACAAGTCCTTCTTTGTGAAGGTTGGATTCGTTGTTCAGTTTGAAGGAGAAGTTTGAAGGAGGGGAGAAGGAATAACGGTAAATTTTTTGTGTATTTTTAAGTGACCAATGTTCAGGATAGAAGAGTGCGTTCAATGTCTAATAACCTGCTCTTTGGTTGTAACTGTGGTTCTCTTTGTGCAAGTTCAGTGGCGGCTGTAGTCGGCCTCAGATTTCTGCGTGTATGAGGATTTGTGGAAGCAAAGCAAGTACAGTATAAACCACTTACAACGTAACCGCTTATAGTGCAGGACCGGGTATAACGCGGCTTTTTTAAACCACCGGTTCGCCTCCCATAGAACTCCATGTAATTACATAGCGCTTAAAATGCAGGCGCGCGAAGGGAAACACCGGTTATAGTGCGGTTTCTGGAACAGCCCGCCGACCGTGCCGACCGACCAACGCAGCGAGCACGCTTCCCTGTGCGACACAAGCGGCACTGGCGGGGCAAGGAGGTTGCTCGGAGAAGCGGGGAGAAGCGAAGAGAGAGGCTTCAGTTGCCATAGCGACGGAGGGACGCACGCACATGTCGTTCACGTGCGTGCGTCCCTCCGCTGCGTTGAAAAGGTTGGAAACAACCGCAACGACAGACCAATCGCAGGTCAAGGATAAGTGTTCGCGCGCGTTGCATGCCGGTTGCGGGCCGGCTGCTTCTATCCGCAAACATGGCGTCGGTTGTGATCGTCGACGTAGACGGCGTGGTGGAAGCTCATCGTTCCGCGTAAAAGCGCTATCCTTGACTGTGAATTTTTGTTGTGTTTCACTATGATAACCCAGCACGTACTAGAACGGAAGATCCACCTATTAGTGCGGCGATGTCGTGGCGGCACTCTCAAGACAACAGAAACGCTTGTGTCGTCGTGTTTGTTTGCTTCGACTACAGCTTTCTAAGCATTTGTGTTTTCGAACATCGCCCGGATTTCTTATTTGGAGCATTTCATGGCTGTGTTCAAGTTGAAGGTATTACTGACGCGTACCGTATAAAGGATGCGAATTTTCACGTGTTTTCATCACCAGAGAAAAAAGATTACTCCTGCGACATACGTTATATGCGGCCTACACTGTACCAATGTGTTTGAACCTCGCCAAGCAAAACCCAACTTTGGAAGCTGCGCCGGAAGTCGACTCGAAGTTCCATCACTGTTTGTATTTCATTTGAACCCGATGGTACATCATACAGCCCTAGAGAGGACATAGCAGTCAGAATCTCCCATAATTCTAGAGCAGACTCTTGGCGGCAGCCGGTGCAGCTGCAATTTAGTGTGCCCTACAGTTGTCGGGCAAGGTGCCCTCCAGGCGCATTGCTGAGAAAAAGGGAGTGACCCATTACCGCACTCACCAGGTTGGCCTGGACGCAGACTTCGATGAACGCTCGCAGGCTCGTCTTGAGCTGCATCTCCCGAGCCAATTTGTCGAGCTCCGCCTTCTTCACCTTGGCCGCATTCTCAGCCTGAGCCGAGGTCAGGCGAAGCCCCGCCTTCTTCGCCCGCTTGCCCCGCCCCCCGGCAGGAGCGGCCACCACAGCCGTCGCCACTTCCTCCTCCTCCTCCTGACCCTGCTCCTCCAGCAACGCCGCGTCGAGAAGTTGTGGCTCAACCTGGTGTGCGCACAGGTCTTCGAAGGGCACGGCGAGGGAGCCGTCCTCCAGGCACAGCAGGTCGTCAGCGGGGAACGGGACCTGCGACCACGCCGGCTCTGCCGTACTCCGCGTTGAGTGCTGCAAAGTGCCACACAAGGTGCTCTCAAAACGCTCGGTTGCTTTGAAATGTTAACGACCCTTGAACAGCTTTCGTCACCCTCATACTTAAGAGGTCTTTTACTTAACCAGAAAATTTATGCGGTGCTGATAACGAATCTACCATTCAAGGATTGGCACATGTGCATGTTTTTCCAGTGATGGTTTGCAAAAAGCAAACAGTACATGTTCTCAACAGGGGCTTTTATTGCACATACCCTCGTGCTAAATCTTAGCTTTCCCCAAGTAAGCATGTGCATTGGGGAGAAATTTTACTGAGCTGTTCAAAATGAAGTTGGGTAATGTGACACCAACCTTTATGTAAGAGATTTTTTTTTTTTTATTGTTTGCTTTTATAACCAACAATGTTGTTTTAATAGTTGCTTTTCCTTTTTATAGGTCTCATAGCTGTGCACCCGGGGCGGACCACCCCGGGTGCACGGCTAAGGGGGGCTTCGCGGCAGGCCACGAGACCAAAGGGGGAGAGGTCGCAACTGGGGTGTTGCGGCGGGCTGCCGCCCCGGGTGCCGCTCACCTTAGTGACGCCACTGCCCGTGAACAACCATAACGTGCATGAAGTACCACGACTACAGTGCAACGAAGCATGCACATCGCCGTAATATAGCCAACGAAAAAACATGCTGCGTCGGTCACTGCAATTGGAGAAATGGGCTCTCCAGACAACCATAAATTAAAGACGCCGCATTCCCATCCAAATAACTTAAGAAATCGCTCCAAAACTGTTTTTAGAGCGCAGCTCTCAGGCACCCGTTTCTGGCTTGAGCACTGTCGCTGTCGGCATAACCGTAAGGTCACGTCACCACCCCCAGGTCACGTGACCTGGGGGGGTCATGCAGGCAACCGGCTACGAGGACGACAGCAGTAGGAGGGAGCTGGAGGAGGAGGGGGAGGAGAGAGGAGGAAGAGGGGGCGAGTGGAGGAGGTTGAAGGATGAGGAGGTGAAGAAGAAGGAGGGGGTGGAGGAGGTGGATGACAGGAGGAGGAGTAGCAGGCAGGATCACGAGGGAGGAGGAGGGAGAAGGAATATACCCTCCCCTCAATACCCTTCCCCCCTCCTCAAGAGCTGCACTCCAATTCGGCGTTACAGGGAGTTGTAAACGGCTTTCATTTTTTGTGCATATTATTACGGATTGGGTCTTTCCGTCCGATCGTAACCACTGCCATTATGCGCTTGCGCTGGCGGCAAGGCACGAGTCGGCTTAAGAGTGACAAAAATGTTGAGTGGTCTCGCATTAATCCACAGTACGGTCACAGCGACAGCTACAACACGTCACTACAAAGTCGTTGGGCATCGGCGTTGCGTTCACGCACAGTGGGGTGCGTGAACAAAAGCGTTCGAAACGAAATACAGTGCAACCCAATTACTGTAAAGTTCCGAAAGAACACCCACCCAAAATACAGAGATAAATGGTGAAAAACATGAAGTGGGCTACCTTTGCGGATGACACAACAAAACATTATCAAAAATTAATGATAAACACGGGGCACCTGCTACAAACCACGTGACGCAGAAACTGATATTCCAGATCGCGAACACCATAAATTTGCATTTCATGATGCGATAAACACACGGAAATTCGCTACGAACTCCTGTGTCACGTGAAAGGATACCACAGGTTGCGGACGCAGCAGATTTGTGTTTTACTGTGCGAAGGACCCGCTGAAACCCACCAACAACTCGCATCTCACGAGTATGAATACCGCAAATCGCGGACGCAGCAGATTTAAGTTTTATGATGCAATAGACACGCGGGAACCCGCTACAAACTTAACTGTCACGGGAACCGATATCGCACGCACAGATCGCGGACAAAAAGGGGACTGTTACAAAATCCTATGTCATGGGAGTGAATAGAGCAGATCGCGGATGCAGCAGAATCATATTTATGCAATACCAGTGAAGGAAGCAGCATTTGAACCTTTCGTAGCAGGTTCTGTAGCATTCAAAATACTAGTATCGAGCAGCGGCTAACGCATTTGGAGCAGATGCAAATGAAAAAAGTGATGCCATATCTAAGTCAGCTTGTGTGTGATAATGATTGCTAGTTCCTCTTTGATACTGGAGCATATTACCTACCACATTTTGTGCTAAAAATAAATAGGATGCAAAAGGAACAGATAGCCTTCTTTTCTTGAAATAAGGCTCCGGTCAGAGCGGAATCCATTTAAAATGGGTACTAAAAATGGTTAAAAAATAAATCACAGCCCAACCCTTTAGTTGCGATAAAGCCTCTTTCCCATCCCCGTTCTACACTCGGTAGTTTAATTGGCCTGTAAATATAATTTCTACAAAATGCCAGCAAAAACCAGCATATCCGCTACACCAGTGGCTCTCAACCACTGATGTTTCGCGGACCCCTTGTGAATCGGCGGTAAAGATGGAAAACGATGTTTGTGGTGAGGGGAAGGGAAAGGTATAGGTTAATTATGATAATGATTTAATAAATGAATATCACTAAGGGCTAGTGTAAAGTACACTTTTTTCAATCACATACACGCGAGAGAACTCACCCGAAAATTGAAATGTTTCTTCTCAATAAAAAAACAATACAACTTTTTTTGCCAGGCTTGACTCATTAGGCAGGGCTTCGCGGGCCCTTTGAATGCCTTCGTGGACCCCCATTTGAGAACCACCACGCTACACCAATAAAAAGGCGTCCCCCAAGTTTTATGAACCTGCCAAACTCAAAACTCTAATATCATAAACTACAAAAACAACCACTGACAAATATTATAAAAGCCTACACTTGTGCTTCAAATGTGACACTGCTCTTCAGCAGCACTGGAACTAGAGTTAAATAAAAGTTTGCTGCTCATTCATTCGACAGCTGCACAAGAGCTACCGTATTTATTCAAAAATAGAGGCCCGTGTTTAGTTTTCTTATAGTTTTTTCGGCTCTTTCCTTTTTGTAATTATTATTATTAGAGATTAATCTGCAATGAAGACAAAGAAGGTCGATTTGCAATAACCCTGAGAATGAATTCCGCGCATAGCTATTGCGCTAACCCTCCAACAGGTCAGTCACTGCTCCTAGCACTTTGGTACAAAGCGGTGAAGCCCGACGCATGCACGCTCATGTGTGGCGAGATGTAGTGAAGGTTGACAGGAGCAGCACAAGTGCCGCGGTACTCTGCAGTCACAGCACGGCAGACATGATAACCGAGCGATTTCACCAAGAGTATACAAGATCCTTGTTCTGTCTTATCACAGTATGTATACCACCATCCTACTATTTTGCAAAGTTATCTCGACACTTTTAGCTCCTGGTCTCACAGACATCGTCTGGTAATTTAGACGATGTCGACGATCAACTGGCCAGCGCATCAACTGGCCAGAGCGATTGACGAACAATCCATATGCTTTGTTTCACCTAATGTCGACGCTACAGCCAACTCTACGAGCCAATGGGACCAATTAAACAGCATAAAAGTGTATCATGGCATTCATCTCCCTGTATGTGTCTTTTTGTCGGCTAAACCAATCGGCTGGAGTGAATGCCCCGCGACTAGCACTTTTAGTATGTGCGCTCAAGCTTTCGATTGTGCTCAGACCTAAAATGAAACAAATTATATGGCGAGTAGAGACGCCGTGAAATATATTCATACCATTTTTTTTTTCTTCTAACTTTCTAAACATTAGGGCCGACCAATATTAAATTATTTTTAAATTTTGCTTTAAGCCCATCCTGGCGCAGTTATGGCGCAATTTTGAGCAAAAATGACGCTTTGGCACGAGATGTAGCAGAATTTCATTAATGGCGCGATTTGGCGCAAATGACACAGCACTTCCATCACTGCAATACACACGTGGGACCAACTTGCGTGTTACAGGAATTGACATCGAGCGCACAAAGCCTCATGTCACAGGAACGGATACCACAGATTGCGGACTCATAAGATTCCCATTTCACAATACAATATACATGCGGGAAACACGCGTGCAACGGAAGCCAATATTGCGCGTGCAGGTCGCACACGAAAACGTGGAAACCCGCTATGAACTCGCTTATCAGACATACAGGTATAGCATATTGCACGGCGGATGCGTTTCCCGTCGGACATCGCATGACGTGCGACGGGATTTGGGAGGGTGGGCGATGGTTCAGAATTTTGAGGTTACAAATATTTAGCCAGAAGAATGGGATGGGCCATTTCTCGGAGACGGGCGTTCTCTCTAAACCTTTCAGTATTACGATAATGAGAAAGCCCGAAAATTTAATTGTTATAATTGACTGTTGTAGTATCTGAACTAGAAACTGAGTGTTTCTAGTTTAGAAACTTTAGAAACCAATTATTACAAGCGGTACATCGCTAAAAGTGGATTGCATTGTAGACATTTGACCATTCTGTTCCGAACGCTTCTGTTCCGAAGCATGTGAAAGCGCGTCTCGCGACGCAGGCTCTTGGCACTGACATTGATACAACGGTGTTTTGTTGTTGGCTATTTCTTTTTCTATAGAGAGCGTGCAGTGGACATCAGCTACTAGAAAAACCCAGAGTATAAAGCGGGTTGTCAATGGCATGGCGCAGCTCCATGGTAACACCTCCTCTTTGCAAGCGGCAGACCCAGGTTCGAACCCCGCGTGCAGTGAAGAATCTCTTTCGAGGATTTGGCAAAGTCGACGACAGACGCCCTACGTCACCAACTATAACGTCGACAACAACGACAACGACTAGAACATCCCAAGCGGACGTCATTTCCAGATGTGGGAAGAGCCCACAACAGCTATAAAACGTTGAGCGAACGCCTGGCCGGGGGCAGACGAGTGCTCACGCTGTGCAGGTGCGGTCGTCCGCAGCTCTCGCACCGGACGCTGTGGGGGGAGCAGGCCGGGGGCAGCGCGAGGACGTTGCACGAGGCGGGGATGGTCAGGATCAGCTCCTCCCTGCGCTGACCGACCGCTCCCCTGCGCCGCTCAACCTCCAAGAGCTGCGTCCTGTGCGCCTCCAGAACTGTGCAGTCAGAGGGGACACTGGTCAGCGACCTGCCTGCAACGCACCATGTTTATGCCTGGCACACTCTGCATTGGGGGTGGCCAGACGGACACATGCAAAGAGTCACATAAAGCGTAATTTTAATGCGAAAGCCTCAAAAACGGGGAGTGAAAGTTTTTGTTTTTTTGTTTTTTTATATTATTTAATTTCAGTTGGTGGCCACGGTGAATTCTACTCATAAAGCGGTTGTTCATTGTTATGTCACTGACCCTAATGTCATTTATAAGGTTGGTCTGATGTGGCAAGGTGGAGCAAGGCGCCAAAACGTAAGCTATTTTTCTTATCATATATCTTTCCTCCTGTTCTAGCAGGGGATAAATGGGGGGAGGAGGGAGTACGCTTCCCAGGGAGCTGCAAGCCGCACTTGAACTCGTGAAGAGCCATGGTTTGGCCGCCCCTGCTCTATGCGAACCGACCTCTGTCAACCTTAATGGGTAACTCCGGTCACAAGTCGAACCAAAGTGAATGACTGATATCAATTAACGGAGACTAAATATGAAAACTGCAAAAATATTACAGGAACGGGAAACCGCGTTTCACTCTAAAACCGATGGTAAAAATGCTACCACCATGTAAAAGGGTTGATAATTGGGCTAGATGGTATTTAAACATCTAAACGGTATTAGTGCACACGTAGAGAGGAGAGAGAAGATGCAGGAAAGGGCGCTATTCCCAACTATATTTACTGAGAAGAAGAGAAGAACATTGTAAAAATCCATCACCCCGCTCGTAGTGCATAAAATACCAGCATGGCTGCAAATGCAGTTACGGGCAAGCTATGTATAGCTTATAAACATAGTCATCGGACATTACTACCATACTTGGCGAGATTGTGGCACGTTGAACCACAAAGCGGCAACGCTCAGCTGGTACGTCATCCCTAGGCGGTGCAGGAGTTAATGGTCTCACGAAAGCGATACGCATCGCCCTTCTCACTTGCCGATTTTGAAGCGAGAGGTAAAGAGATCGCTGTCACATCATTTCGTTTCCAAACCCCTTTAAGGTGCTAATGGGGCGGGGAGGAGGGGGAGGGAGCATTTTTGCTTGGATTACTTCTTAGCTTCCAAGTGGGCTTTTAATTGTCATGATGTACACTTAAGTGAGCTTTGCAATTCTTTAGAAATGCAGCTTGACATCATATTTCTTTCTTTTTTTTAAACAAAACGTTAGTGGCATGCACACGTGCGGCAGCAAGTGCACGTGAAGAATGAATGCAACCTCTGCGGAAGGACAGGTCCGCACCTTTCATCAGCTCTCTGTACTGCTTCTTTCTCAGCTTGCCGACTTTCGATTTCTTCGTTTTCGTCTTGTGGGATGGCTCTGCGTTGGTTGCGTAGCGAGCATTCTGGTACACTCCTAAAGGCAGGAGGAAACAGTTAATTAATAACCTGCATCGAGACGCCACACTCTGCCGCTTCACATGGAGTTCTTCTTCGAGCTTGCATCATCAAATAAATAATGAACCCAAAGTTGTCCTGAAAAAAATGATGTGGGTGACTGAAAAAACCAGGCTCGATCTAAAATGAACCGTAAAAATCGGTGCTTGCGCATAGCAATCTAAACTTTTCGTCAAAGGTGTATTTTACAGGTCGGTTTGATCTCGTAAAATTACGAAGTGTAGCTCCCTTTCTGTAAAAATAGTCGGCCAAAAAACTTGTCGGGGTCAATGGTGGACAGCGACGCAGACGACCGAGTCAGGTGGCGGGGCGCGCTTGGTGCACATATTGATAGGTGGCATTGGGAGCAGCATAGAAAGGTGTAGCTGGCCAGTGTAAGAAAGCAGACGACACACAGACGAAATCCGTCGGCAGCATAGCACTGTCATTATGCAACCCCTTTTTTCTTTTTTTCTTAACTTTTCTTAACATTACAAAAGATTATGTGCATTTTAGTAGACCACGGTCGTCGCAATCAGTTTCGATAAGGAGGTAGTACTACCTATCAAAATATCTGCCAAGCGTGCCCCGCCATAGGCTCATAGGGGAGGGGGGTGGGGCCCGAGCCCCCACCCCCTTCTCCTCTCTTGAGCTCTTCGAAAAAGCAAGTACTGTCGCCTCCAGGACCTCTGGCTGCACCTCATTTATCTCATCTGTGCGCCCTGGTGTCCGCACATATCGATAGCTGGCACCCAGTAGATAAATAAACATTTATCCACTCACCAGCTCTGGTCACTAAGTGACCAGAGACGGTGAGTGGATAAATTTTTCTAACTATTTGCGCAGTCCTGTTCGAAGGCTTTACATAATATTAGCAAATATGATAAAGGCTAGTGCTGGAAATTCCTTTGAAAGCCATTGAAAGTAGTTGCGAATGACGACAGTGCACCTCTAGCAGGCCTGCAGCCTACGGAAGTTGACGACATAATACGTTTTGTAAGCCCCATTTTGTTTTCATAAACATTGAAACAATTCATTGCGGTCAATTCGCTTGTACCATGGAATTCACTGATCGCAACTGCAATGCCAGCTAAATTATAGGGTCACAAAAGCAGACATTTATTTAGGCATCATCCCGTCAGCATGCTTATTCTACGTTTTCCAGGAGATTACACACGTTTGGGACGTCTCTTTCCCAAACGTTTCCCAGGGGGCCGGAGGGGTTCCGGCCCCCCCTCCCCTCTTCCCGGGAATATGAGAACTTTCCGCCTATGCGCCCTGCCACTTGACTCTGTTGTCTGCGCCACCGTCCGTCGTTGACCATGGCAAGTTTTTCTGGCCCTATTTTTTACAGGAAGGGAGCTACGCTTTGCAATTTTACATAAAAAAACCGACCTGTGAAACACACCTTTGAAGAAAAAATGAGACTGTAACATGCGAGCGCCAAATTTTACGGCCCCTTTAGATTGAGCCTGGTTATTTCAGTTACCCTATATTTGCTAATGCAATTAATGCAAAGGTGCAACCGAGGTGAACAAGAAAGACGATAATAATCCCTGAAGGCGGCGAACAAGGGAAACAAAAAACAAACACAAATTTCCAAACACAGCTAGGTGATTGGTGCACGACCGAAAAAACACGCCGGGTCTTCATCATTCTTGTCCAGCTATAGCTTGCACCTTTGCATTGATTTTGCATTCTCACTCTGATCTTAAAAAATGCAGGCCGTTCACCCTTATTGGTGTTAGACTGGTGGCAGGTGATAAAACCCGTTTGCTCTACTGACGTCGAACTACTGGTCAGTTCAGTTGGTAGCGCGCTCCACCAGAAATGGAGAGGTCTCTGGTTCGATACCAGGACCAGGCGGATTTTTTTCGGTCGCGCACCAGTCACCTAGCTGTGTTTGGAGATTTGTGTTTATCCTTTGTCCCCCTTGATTCCCTCCTCCAGGGGTCATCGTCGTCACCCTATATTTTCCTTCACTTTGCGCAGGGAGCTGTCTCACAACACATGCATTATTGCGAAGCTCCAAAGGAGACTTACCAAGGGCGCCGTGCAGTGCGACTTTCGGGGGAAAACGAGGACGACACTCACTTCGCAAGAGATTTTCGACGCTGAGAGTCCAGAAGGGGCGTCTGATGGCACATAAATGATGACACGCGTATCTATAGTGTGACAATGCTGAAGTATACATTGCAAACACGTGCCAAAGCGCCGTTACGAAACATTCACTCAACACTTCGCAACCGAATGAGTGCCGCCATCTTTGAAATTACCATCGATGGCGATGGATTTGTTGAGAATGATAAAGGCGAACCAGGCGAACCGTGATAAATGAACACGCAGTGGGGTTATGTTTGCGACTGTCATGTTTTTATAAAACACTGAGAAACTTATAATTACACTTCAAGGTTCTAAAATATCTTGCATGAAAAGTAAAAACACTATCTTCAATTTTACTCGAAAACGCCCTTTTAGCACAATTTTAACGACGTAATCAAAATGAAGTTTCGGTTTCGTATTCAAATGGTTTGCGGAATTCACCATATTCTATTATAAGTCGAGACTGCAGCCAAAGCTACAAGCACGAGGTAGCCCGCGCACCTGGCACTGAGTCGTACCAACGCCTCCTCTAATTGTAGAGGAAGCGTTTGTCTTACTCGTACCTTCCTAGCGCGAGCGCTCGTTCTACAGAAGACGTCTCAAGCAGCGATGTAGCTCTCAAATTTCGGGCAGCGCTCCAGGCGAGCAAAATAGAATATTTGACTCGCGCTTCGAGCATGCGTCAATACGCTTCCCCACCACAGTTCCTTATACTCCATTCCATTCTAAGTGCCAGCGTAGCAGAGACTACAGAAGCTATACTTTGTCTCACGATGGACTAAAGGTCAAAGCCACAGGCCGCCAGGTCCAATCACGTTACATGTTAAACTATGACATGCTTAACATTGATTAGGGATGGACGAATAATGCTCCTAATCAAAAAGTGCTGCATCATTTGTGTAGCTTCGACACTGCAAAGAGCCTGTATGTTATGGCTTTCTTTGCGATGTAAATTTGGTGAGTCACTCAGTGCTATTCAGTTCGAACCACTGTCCGCCCATCCCCATTAGACGCGGGCACCGACACGTGCCTTGAAGCCAAATAGGCAATTTTGAAGTGGCTCGTGATTGGATCTGGTGGTCTGTAACTTTTGCCTTTAATCCATCGTAGGGTGAGACGAAGTATAGACGCTGTCAGGCAGCTGTGCATGGGCGCCGCCATAACCGACCTTCAGTTTTTGTTTCCTCTTATCCCGCTCGCTCTACTTCATTATTACCACAGCAGGACAGGTCATTGCCATTTTAAAGTCTACCGTGTCCTTGTCTCCAGCATAGGCCCTTGTACAGACTCGTCAACGCCCGCTTCAGTGGCTCGGCATAGCGGTAAGACAAGAGAAGGTCGGCTATGGCGGCTCAATTTGGCGCGCGCTGAATGCGAGCTTTCAGCGTCCCTGCCAAGCACGCGCGCTCGTGCAGTGCGAGCATCGTTCAGGAGTACGTGCGTTCGCGAGTAGCTTCGGCTTCGCTATCACGTAAAGTTGAATTTACGTGCTCGCGGAAGTTATGAAAGAATGCAAAGATGAAAGGAATGTTTAATGGAACGCTGCGGCCATGAGCTGCATAATTTTTATTTAGTTTTTTTTAAGTTTTTTCAGACGTTTTGTTACCGCGCATCTGCAGATGCTGACAGATGCTCGTATTCGAACGTGGCATGTGCAAAATCGAACGTTACAGAGCCGCCTGGATGGTGCAGCCAGCATAACATGGTCGCGTCTTGGGTAAGTATTCCGCAGAGGCTCTGGTATTCCGGACGCGCTCGCGCCCCCTGCCCCAGAGCAACTGGTCGCGCTTTATCGAGCTTGGTGTCCCTAAAGCCCCTCGATGTGTTTGCGTTCGTCTTGCAAGTAGCGTCAAATGCGCAAGTGCACGAGGCCCATGTCTCGAGCGGCCCTTGGAAGCAAATGGCGGCGCAGCACTGAAATGAGCGGGCCTTGGAAGCGAATGGCGGCGGAGCACCCGCTCATGGCACGTGTCTCGCGCGCTTCCACAACAATGGTTGGCGGTACTTGTAAAAAACGCTTTTATCAAGGGGCTTTAGGTGTCCCTAAAGTCCCTTGATAAAAGCGTTTTTCACAAGTACCGCCAACCATTGTTGTGGAAGCGCTCGAGACACGTGCCATGAGCGGGTGCTCCGCCGCCATTCGCTTCCAAGGCCCGCTCATTTCAGTGCTGCGCCGCCATTTGCTTCCAAGGGTCGCTCGAGACATGGACCTCGTGCACTCGCGCATTTGACGCTACTTGCAAGACAAGCGCAAACACATCGAGGGGCTTTAGGTGTCCCCACAGCCGGGTGTTTACTAACACAGCATAACAAAGAAATTAAACCTCGCCTAGCACGGTCTGGGCACGAGCGCTTCGCTCTGACTAGTGCTTCAGTCGCACGAGGAGTGGCCTTCGAATCGTAATCTTCCATTTCTCAGATTAAAACAAAAGAAAATGCGGCAAAACGGTATTAGCGCACTAGCGCACACGTAGAGAGATACAGGAAAGAGCGCTACTCACAACTGTATTTACTGAGATGAAGAGAAGAAAGGGCATCGTAAAAATCCATCACACCAATAAAGATTGCACATGCAGTCTGTTATTAGGGGAAACAAGCATCCTAGGCAGGCACAAAGGCAAACTGACCCGCGAGGTACTGGAAGCTCGCTTATGGCCTGAATGTTCAACGAGACTGAATGTCCAACGTGTCCAATTGGTCACGTGACAGCTAGGCGAGACAGAACGTACAACGAGACGAAAGATCCAATCGAGACGGAATGCCCATTGAGCCTGAATGTCCAACGAGTAGAAAGGTCCAGTCGAGGACAGAGTGTCCAACGTGCCTGAATTTAAATGTCCGAGACGAAAATTCCAACCGAGAAGGAATGTTCAACGAGCCTAAATGTTCAACGAGTCTGAATATCCAACGGATATGGAATGAACCTTGCATAGAATTTAGAAAATATTTTTTTTTTCGAATAATTGGATAACTGATAATTATGGCGGTAATAACGCGTTCGATGAAATCGGGAACCGGACGTTTCGGTGCGGAGATCTCGGTACCGGCCCGTACGAAAATGTCAGATACAGGCCGTAAATGAAAAATTCCGGTTTCGCCTAAACCCAAAATTGGGGCACCAATTTGAATCCAGCCTGGAACCCCGCATTTCCAGCCCCAGTTTTAGACCCAGGCGGTGCACCGCCGGAATTCTCGCAGCGCTCACCATTGGACTCTACTACAAAAGAATTTCGTGCTATGCCCTTAGCCGTTATACAACCGAGAGATCGATTCGATTTCAGACCCAGGCGGACTGGGTCTGAAATCACGACGACCTCTCGCTTGTAACGGCTAAAGGCCCGTTCACACTCTTCCAACCGAGTACGACCGAGAGAGACCAGACCGGTTTTTAAGCCTTTTGCGACCGCTTAGGACCAGCTCCGCTGTAGCGCATCCGGTTCTAAGAGATCGCAAGAGGCTTAAAAACCGGTCTGGTCTTTAAGGGCATCGCGCGAAATACTTTTGTAGAGTCCAGTGGTGAGCGCAGCGGTAATTCTGGCGGCGCACACGGTCGTCCAGGCGTCGTCACCGAAGACGGTGCACGGGGTTCCCAGACATGTCATCGAACGCCGTTTCGTCGAACGCCGTTTCACCGAAAAAATGGACGTTTCATCGAACGCCGTTTCATCGAACGCCGTTTTATCGAATCGCTGACGGCCGTTTCATCGAATGTCTTTTATATAAAAAGTGTGAAAAATGCTCTTTTACGCACGGATCGAGTGCATTTTCGCGTCATTCACCCATTTCATGGTCAGGTTTTTTAATGCCCAAACTTGTAGCTGTTACAATTTATGTTGATGCAAGTAACTCATGAGGATATTTGTACCGATTTTTTTACGTTTGTTTCGCATATTGTGCTTATCTGTTCCCCCCTCTGTATCACCCGATGGGCCTTGAGGGTATATTGTAACAAATAAAAAGTCGCACTCCCGGTAAGAGCGCACTCCAACTCATGGAGGCCAGAAGGCGACTTGGGTCTTGCGCAGCCGTAACAACTTCAGCCATGTGAGCCTCCTGGCCTCTCATGTCTTTCTATTGATACTTTTTTACTGCCCAAAGCTTGCAGTAGCTAAAGCTGAGGTGCCATTTATGAGACTACAACGAAACATTGTTTTTTTAGTTCTAAGACTCAAGGAAGTAAAAAGTAAGTACGCCCCTTCAAATTTTATTTGAAAACTGTGGGGGTTCATGTGTTCGTGCGACAGCTATTCACCGTTTTAAATAATGAGCAATTGCTCTCAAAAAGTTCCCCTCAGCCGTGGTCCGTCGGTTCTCATAAAAAAGGCGGACCTTTTCATTTCTTGCCGCTACGGCCTTCTTCTGGCGAGGAGGCTCTTGGGAACTCAGCATCGCCTCCAGCTTGTCTTCCGTCAGTTGGTGTTCTGCGTCGATGCAAGTCAAAAACTTCCGGAACCCGGGATGGGCACCTCCGACCAGCTTCAGGAAGCGGGAATGCCACCCTGGCGTTCGATAAGACGGCGTTCGATAAGACGGCGTTCGATAAAACGGCGTTCGATGAAACGGCTTCGATGAAACGGTGTTCGATGAAACGGCGTTCGATGAAACGGCATTCGATGAAACGGCTTCGATGAAACGGCGTTCGACGAAACGGCGTTCGATGAAATGTCCGGTCCCAGGTGCACGAAACACACACACAGCACGCACAAGCACAGTATCCATGTGTTGAGTGCATCGGGAAGTTCCGGCGGGCAAGCGATATCCGGAGTTGTCCAAGTATTGTCACCAAGCACACCAGCGCATCCAGATGCCGAGCCAAACTGTAATGGGTCGGCAGCTTTACACTATATATAAAGATTCAAAGCCGAGGTCAGTGGGTATCCATCCAGGGCAACGATAGGCGCGTCAGTATCCGTGCGCCCGCAGCGCAAACGTCGCCGCCGGGCGAGCGCCGGTCGGCAGTCCGACGGGGAGCGGAGAAGAACCTAAACTCTTGAAGTGCTGCCGCCGACTGCAATAAACAATGGAAGGCGCGCGTCGTCACCAAACACGGTGCACGGAACACACACACAGCACGCACAAGCATAGTATCCAGTGTTGAGTGTATCAGGAAGTTCCGGCGGGCAAGCGGTATCCGAGTTGTCCAAGTATTGTCACCAAGCACACCAGCGCCAAGCGCATCC